CTCGATTTTTCGCCGTTTTTAGGTGTTTTTCGGCTATAAAAACTGAACCACACTGTGCGAAAAAACCACAGTGAATCCCGTTAATTTTTTTGCCGGGATTTACTGTAGTTCAGAACACAGGATTTACCGTGCCTGGCTACAGTATCTACTGTACCTGGTACAGGATATTCCGTACTCCACTCCTGTGGTACAGTAAATCCCGTACAAAGTACAGTAGATCCTGTTAAAAAAGTACAGTAAATCCTGTACTCTGAACTACAGTGACAGCTGTACTAATAACTACAGGATTTACTGTGATTTTTTCCCACAGTGCAGTTGAGCTAGGATAGTGAAATTTCGCGTGTGCTGAGCCAAGAACATACCTAATAAGCCTGCAAAATCTCAGCCAGATCGGCCGAGCCGTTCAGGAGGAGTAGTGTACACACACAGACAGACACACAGACAGACAGAAAAAACTTTTCAACCGCACTGGAGTAACAGGCTTCGCTATCGCTCAGCCAATAAGGATGATAGACGGGGCTACTATGCTGCAAATCTTAGTCCAAGGACCATAGTTAAGGCCGCTTATGCACTTTTGTCACCAGGTCAGAATTAAAGGCCTTAATTTGGAATTTTCAAAAATGTGACCCACAAATGATTTTTTACCTTATGCCAGGAATTTCCTCTGTGGTTCGTTAGCCTACATCGTGCAGCCTGCCCACTAAGAAAAAAAAACCTTAATCCCTAATCCGCCTTGCCGGTCGAGTGGCACGACCAAAAACGCGGGCGCCGTGGCGACTGCAGCACCCAGCCTCGTGACGTCGCGAACCGACGGCGGCGGCGAACCGCCGACGGCGGAAAGGCCCAGCCCAGCTCTTTCCTGGTGGCGTTATATCGCCACTTCCAGGAACACTGCGCGTCCCGGTCCTGGTCGACGACCAGAATGCTCCAGAGACGCGTAACAGGATCAGATTCGAAGCGAGCATGTGACCCCACTAATTGGTTCCTCGTCCGGAGATCAATCCTTTGGTGGGGCCAACGTTTGTTTTGAGTCCTGTTGACTCTGGAGCTCAACACGCCCGGGATTTTGACTGCCTTCACCAGTCTTCCGGCCCACTGCCCAGTGCTGGCCCCCCGGCCCCGGCCAGGCTCGGCTCTCTCCCATCCCACCCCGAGGGCCATGTTTTGAGGCTTTAAGGCACTTTTGCAAAATCGGTCCCGCTCCTAACTCCAACGTCGTCCTCCGCAGACACCATCAATATCACGGAGCTAAAAATTATTCCATGATGTGCCGGCCAAAGAGGTTCGTTCTGAAGCAATTTCTTGAACAAAAATTCTCGTAAACCGGTCAAAACTTCGAACTTTACGGTTATTTTTATTTTTAAATCAGTGAGCTTGGTTTTAAGACAGTCACTCTTTCCGTCCAAATGATTGTTCAAAACCTGAACGCAAGTTGCTTCCTTTTAAGGGGGGACCCTGGTGAAAAAATCGCCAAAATTCCAAAAAGTAGAATTTTCAAAGTTCATAGATAAAAATGTGCATAGAAGGTTTCAAATTCAACAGGTGTTCAACCTTTAAGCTAAGTGGGTAGTTTCTTTATCATTTGGAAGGAAATAACATTGAGATCAGTTGTCGTTGGCTTCTACGCTCAACTTCACAGCTTTGCTCAGTCGACAAAAAAATTTGTCGTAGAAAGACTTCCTGCGTTCCTGGTTGACACCTACATGAGTCGTCTTGCATGGACTCTATTCATTGATGACTTGTTGACAAATTTTAGTGACGGAATCTTGATATCAGCCCTACTTTTTTTTAAACACACCTAAAAGTTTGAAAAAAGGGAAAAAAATCACTTTTTTATTAATGTTGAAATTTGAAAACTCATATTTCAGGACAGAAGTTGAATTTGAAAATTCCGTCACTAAAATCTCTTCTATACATCTTTAGGATAACCCAAAAAAATTTTCAAGACTTTCCGTCCCAATGAAAGACGCAGGAAGATTTTTCCCCAACACTCCAAAAAACACTAAAAAGCCACTTTTCTCAGAGATCGTTCAACATTTTGGGTTGAATTTTGTTTTGGGAACTCACCATAATGAACCTCATAATAAAGCAAAGTTTCAACTTTCTGGGATTATTTTGAAGCCTACTTGAAAGTTTCACCAGGGTCCCCCCTTAAACTCTCTCAAGTTAAAAATGATCCAGGAAGCGGAAGAAGGGAATAACTTGACTTATCACCAAATTGAGTTTTTATTTTATTATTGTGCCTTAGAATGGTTTACATCATTACACCAAATTATTTGACTGAATTCCAAGCAGTTTAGGAGAAAATCCACATGGAAAAAGGGTTTAACTCAACTTAACCCCTTTTACAGTCTAAATTTCATTGGAAAATGGAGATAACTCAACCTTAGTCTACATGAGTCCGTTTGACAAATTGCCAAAAGGATATAACTCAACTTGTGTTTTTATGAATCTAGTGTAAAAAGAATCAACTCAACTTAACCCCCCCTTAATTTTAAATTTCGATTTGGAACATACACTTTATGCAGACTATTGTTCCACTTGACTTGTCTCCAAATTCCTCTTTGTTTAGGAAATATAAGGTGAGCTGACTCTGTTTTCCATTTCAACGGAAAGTGATAAGTCGCAGAAATCCTCTACGGAGTGACCTTACACTTTTGATTTTTTTTTCCAAAATTTTACTAATGCTTTTTGAAATTAATAACATTTGCAACATTCATTTGTTTTGTTTTACTTTTCCCTGCTAACAGGTTTTTGTTTCTCCTGAAAAATGGCCAAAATTGAGTTATCCCCTTCTTCCGCTTCCTGGATTAAATGAGGCGGGCTGGCGGTATTAGGCCGCTGTAATCCCCAGCTGGACAGGGTCAGCTCCAGGCAGGCACCAGACGGCGGGGCCTGGCCCTGGCTCGAGCCCCCTCCATGATTGTCCACAGCTCCTTCCGACCGGCGGACAAAAAGAGGATTCAGTGCTGGGAAGTGAAGAGAATGTAGAGTATAGAGTAAGTGAGCCCGCGTCGTTTGTCCCTGAGTCATCCCCACCACCTTGGCCCCGGCCAGGCCCCGTCGGCCGGCCGGCCGCCCGGCGCTGACCCTTTTCAGGTAGGGATTACGGCGGCTTAAGCCGCTACCGTCGCGCGTCGTTTGTCCGCAGGGACTCCCGACTCCGGGACAAACGACGCGGGCTCACTACTCTATACTCCACAAAAGCAAGTGGGTGCACATCTTGTCTTTAAGCACACATGGCACTCAATCACCATTTTCAGAGCGCCGATTTTATCGTAACCGTTATAAAAATGAGCAAAAAAGACCAAAGTTCGACGCCTCCTAATAGAATGATCCTAACTGTCAGTTCTGATCCAAGACAATCCTAACTGCTCAGAGGTTTCAGAGGAGGCTAAAACCGCTCATTAGCTCCCTTCAGTCCAAAGCAGCGAATCATGATATCACTGAAAGACAGCTTCCACGTGTTGATGCAAGGTTTATACTTGATCCAGGAAGCGGAAGAAGGGGATAACTCAATTTTGGCCATTTTTCAGGAGAAACAAAAAACTAGGGAAAACTAAAACAAATGAATGTTGCAGATGTTAGTAATTTCAAAAAGCATTAGTAAAATTTTGGAAAAAAAATCAAAAGTGTAAGGTCACTCCGTAGAGGATTTCTGCGACTTATCACTTTCCGTTGAAATGGAAAACAGAGTCAGCTCACCTTATATTTCCTAAACAAAGAGGAATTTGGAGACAAGTCAAGTGGAACAATAGTCTGCATAAAGTGTATGTTATTCTGGTGTATTTTTTGGACTTTTGGACTTTTTCCAAATTGAAATTTAAAATTAAGGGGGGGTTAAGTTGAGTTGATTCTTTTTACACTAGATCCATGAAAACACAAGTTGAGTTATATCCTTTTGCCAATTTGTCAAACGGACTCATGTAGACTAAGGTTGAGTTATCTCCATTTTCCAATGAAATTTAGACTGTAAAAGGGGTAGGGTTGAGTTATACCCTTTTTCCATGTAGATTTTCTCCTAAACTGCTTGGAATTCAGTCAAATAATTTGGTGTAATGATGTAAACCATTCTAAGGCACAATAATAAAATAAAAACTCAATTTGGGGATAAGTCAAGTTATTCCCTTCTTCCGCTTCCAAGTCCATTGCCAAGAAATTTGAAGCAGCATGTTGGCGTCACAGAATTTTACAAGAAATAGCGTTTTACGTCGTACAATCTGCGCTAACAGTTAGGATTGTCTTGGATCAGCACTGACAGTTAGGATTTTTCTATTAGGAGGCGTCGAGTTGGACATTTCATTTTTTTTTTACCAATTTGAAACTGTGTGAAGTAAAAGAAAGCTTCGAACAGAAACCGAACATTGGTACGTTATTTTGACGCACACTTTGCTTTTCAAAAGAAAGGTTACAACTTTAGGCATTCAGGTACCAAGAGGTCGTTAAAGCAACAATAATACTTAGTAATTTTTACGTATGGCTAATTTCCTTTGTAAAATTATGTGCGAAACCAACATGTCAGTACACTATTGAAAATTTCGGAAGTAGTTCTTTAAAAAAGATAAAGTACGTATTATGATTCGTACGTTTTCGTAAAATTGCATTTTATGCAGAATTTTGCCCTGAGTTCAACGCCGCAAATTATCTCCGTGGAGTTTGGAAACTTATGCATTAATTTTGAAACTACGACCGAATTTATGCGCAAATCCGGAGTTCTCAACCAAAGTCGATGTTTGCCCCTATCTCGGAAACCGGCTGATGTAAGGCCCAAAGTATATGTCACTTTTGAATAAGAAACAATCATCCATGTAAGTGCCGACCGCATCCGCCGCAGTCGCGTTTTGGAGCGTGCCCACTTCACGAATTTTTACCCCAACGTAGGCGTCCTATACGCTGATATGGAGTGAGACTCAGTGTGCCCAAAAACAACTCACGATGTTTGTTTACGAAATTCTGTCCGAAACAGCGTTACCAAACTTACTTGAAGGGTGATCCCTTACCTGCAGTAGATGGCTTTAGTGGATTCTTGAAATCAGAGACGAATATCCAACGCGTCGCCGGCGAAGAAATCCGTTTGGAACTTCACAGAGCGCGCAGAGAAGCGCGCGCGTCGCTCGCTACGTCCACGCCGCATGGGCCTCGGCACACAACTACTCCACTCGGCAGCCGCCGGCGCCGGCCGGCTGCGGGCCCGAGCAGGCGGGCCTTCCAAACGCGGGCCCTCGTCTGTCTCTCTCGTACCCACTCAGGACGCCCCGCGAGTGCGAGAGAGAGAGAGAGAGAGAGAGTAAGAGAGAGGGGGAGAGAGAGGGGGAGAGAGAGAGAGAGAGAGGGACTCGACGCTCGGAATCAGCTGGCACAGCCCAGCTCAAGGTCAGCGGGCCGTTCCCTTCCTCCGCATCGACCGATGCGTCATGCCGGCTCGGAACAGCTGAGCGCCCCCCCCCCTCCCTCCCTCCTCCCTCTCCTCTCTCTCCCGCCACGCCACAACGCAACATCTTTTCCCGCCATAGAGAGCGGATGTGGAGGGCAGGAGCGGCGGCAATGACGTGGCTAGCGCCGGACGACGCCGCCCACCAGTCAGCGCTGCGCGTTGGGTTGCCGCACCGCAGGGCGTTGGCGGTCACAGGCGACACATTCCGTAGCGGTGCGGCCACAGCCGGGAGGCGACCGTTGACCCCGCCGCTTTCGTAATTTTTGGCTATGATGTGTACGTAGAAGTTGGAAATGAACAGGCAGGAGTGGACAGCTTGGCAGTGTATTTCGGACTGACTCGGACAAGACGGAACGGACAGTTGACAAGTTCAAGTTACACAAACCTCCGCTAGAGGGCGACACACTACACATGCGCGCGCGCAGACGGCAGCGCCGAATACAGGGCGGGAAATATGAACGAGTATATAACACTCCTCCCCTTTTTAAAGAGTTACAGATACATACTTTTTAGAAAAAGAAACGTAACAAGCACTGTACAGGTGAAGGGAAAACAACAAATCTGAAATAACAAAATTCGTAGCACAGCATACGTAATCAAACTTAACGAATAGTACAAAGGAAAAAACAGTACGGAACTCTACAACAGGTACAGTACAAACAGTACGCAAGAAAATATACGTGCAGAGTGGTAGGTGGAAGAATACCGTAAAATTTATTGAGAAGACAACACATAATGGCACTAAGAGAGAGTATAACAGAAACCTATGACAGTGTAGGGAAAAACTGACCAAAAAATTTTTTATTTAAAAAGGTACAGGAAAAAAATAAACACAGAATGGGACATCTGTACCTGGGGGGGGGGGGTGAAAGGAAGTGAAGCGAAGGGCCCGGCCTCGAAGGTGACGTCGGTGTCCTCGGAGGGGACGTGTAGCTGACGTCCTGGCCGGGCAGCTCGTCGTAGGCAAGGTGAGCTGACGTCGACTCGTCGTCGGCGTAGTGAGGAGGGGTCGACTCGTCGCCGACCTGGAGACCAACCTGGAGCTGCTGCACCGTCGACTCGTCGCCGACCCGGAGCTGCTGCACTGCTGGACGTCCTCGCGGAATGGGTGCTGGTTCGTCGCCGGAGTCCTGCTGCGGAGGCGCGCCGACTCGTCGTCGACGGCGTGCAGTAGGAGCTGGAGATGGCGGTTGCGGGTTGAGCGGCCGACTCGTCGCCGACGCGCTGCTGTAGGGCCTGAGCAGGGCAAAGTCAAAACAAACCTTCCCAATCGTACCCGGAGCGCGGCGGGCAGAACGACGACGACAAGGAGTCCCACAAGACGGTCTCGACGGAGTGCGGGGCGTCGCTGACGTAGTTGGAGGCCTCGGCCTTCTCCTGGACCTTCTTCTGGGGCTTCGTCTGGGGCTTCTCGTCGTCCTCCGGGTCGCTCGGCTGGCGCGCCGCGCTGCAGGAGCAGGTGCAGGACTTGGGGTTGCTGGTCTTGGACTTCTTCTTGGCCCCTCCGTAGCAGACGTCCGACACGTGGCCCGTGGTGTTGCACTTGGAACAGAAAAGTGTATGTTTCTCGACCGTACATTTCCTTGCCACGTGGGGCCCGGCACAATAAAAACACTTGAGAGGGCCGTCGACCCTGAAGACGCCGTCGTTGTCCGTCCGCAGCACCGCTGCGGAGCGCCGCGTGGACTCGTGCTTGGCCGCGGTGTCGACGGCCTTGCCCAGGGTGCAGTCGTCCAGGTCCAAAATGCGGTTCTGGAGCGCCTCGTCCGCCAAGCCCGCGATGAACTGGTGCATGACCAGCGTGTCCCGCGCCGCACGCTCCGCGATGCCAACCGTGGCCACCAAGACGCTGAGGGCTTCGTGAAAAGCCAGGACGGACTCACCCACTTGTTGACGTCTTCCCGTGAACTGGATGTACTGAGCCGTGGGGTTGACCGGCGTCGCCATGTTCTCCGTCAGCGTAGTCAACACGAGGTCGTAGCCTGCGGCGTCGGTGCTGATCGGCTCGAGCCAGCGGTCCAGGCGGTCGAGCGTGGCGTCGTCCAGGGCGTCCAGGAGGATGCCCTTCTTCTGCGCGTCGGTGATGGCCTTCTTCTGCGCGTCGGTGATGGCTCCCTTCGAGGCGACGTGGTTCTTGATGCGCCGCAGGAAGGCGTGCCAGGTTTCGGGCGTCTTGGAGTCGAAACGTAGCGGTGGAGCTGCCATGTTGTTGTTGTCGAGCCGAGCGGCGTGATGGGGCGGTCCCTCGCTGTGACCGTAGCACCCGTTGCCGGCGGGGCACGGAGTCCGCAAATACTTGCCGTACGAAACTGTCACACGTGGTCCGGTTCGGTCCTCGTCGCCAGTGATGTGTACGTAGAAGTTGGAAATGAACAGGCAGGAGTGGACAGCTTGGCAGTGTATTTCGGACTGACTCGGACAAGACGGAACGGACAGTTGACAAGTTCAAGTTACACAAACCTCCGCTAGAGGGCGACACACTACACATGCGCGCGCGCAGACGGCAGCGCCGAATACAGGGCGGGAACTATGAACGAGTATATAACAGGCTAGGCGATAGCGAAGCCCATCGCGTGCTGTACAAATCGAAGAGCGAACATTGTATGCTCTAATCGGAGCATGCCTGCACTGCAAGCACGCTTTAGCTAGCGCATGCCTGTCATGCCATGTACACGCTAACTGAAGCATTCATCTAGTGCACAAGGGATAGGGAGTTCCCTACATAAGGAAGCGTGTACATGGCATGTATGCATTAGTAAGTGGGTACAAGTCGAATACGACTTGCCTCTGGCTTTGCATTGTCGGATTTTTTTCGGAACCGAGACTCGGACGGTCCGAAACCGGCCCGCACTTCGGTTCTCGGACACATCCGTAAAGTTGCCGATTTGGGAACATTCTGGAGCTTTCTCGGACTCGGACTAGCCCGACGGACCTCTTTCGGGCTGGAAACCCGCTCGGACAGATCTCGGAGCAAATAATTTTTGTAAGGGAATGTGTAAAGGTACAAGGTAGGTTTACGCCAGACCGCGTCTTGTCGTAACAGGCTTCGCGATGTTTCGCTGCCTGTTCCTCCAATCCGCGCCTGGCGTACCTACCTTGGCCTGCGGCGCTAGCCTGCCTTCGGCGGGCAATGGCTTGTCCATCGTCGGTTACTTTTGACTTGTTGCATGGTGGGGGGCTCCACCCCCAGACCCCCCTTTGTTCTAGGTAGAGTTGCTTCATCAACAGATAACATGATCTTGACCCTTGTAACCTTTGAACTTGTCGAGGCTGGGGGGCTCCGCCCGCCAGACCCCCCCTTCTTCGAGACAGAAGGCATCCTGCCTGCAGAAAACTCGATTTTTCGCCGTTTTCAGGTGTTTTTCGGCTATAAAAACTGAACCAGTTGAGCTACGATGGTGACATTTCGCGTGTACCGAGCCAAAGACAAGGCTAAAGAGTGTGCAAAATCTCACCGAGATCGGCCGAGCCGTTCAGGAGGAGTAGTGCGAACAGACACACACACAGACAGACAGAAAAAACTTTTCAACCCCACTGGAGTAACAGGCTTCGCTATCGCTCAGCCAATCATCTGCTCAAAAGTGATACTTTGTTGCAAAATTTAGCTGTAATATTTTGTTGCAGACTTTTAGTACACTGCCAATCCAAGTGTAAGACAGTCTCACACTATTTAGTGCGAACCACGATGTCTCACGCTTACAAGTGTGAGCCACGTGTGTCCCACGCTTGCAAGTGTGAGTCACGGTATGTCTCGACACTTGCAAGCGTGAGATATGGTTTGTCTCCCACTTACCTGCGTGGATCCTGTGGCATTAAACCACAGGGAACCATAGGCAGTAAGAGTGGGGCAAACCGTGTCTCACATGTAAGTGTGAGACAAATGATGTCTCACACTTGCAAGCGTGGGACAAACGTGGCTCACACTTGATAGCGTGAGACATCGTGGTTCGCACTAAATAGTGTGAGACTGTCTCACACTTGGATTGGCAGTGTAGTTCTCATTGCAAAAAATTATGATAAGTTTTTTATTGCAAAATATAGACACTGGTTATTGCAATTTGAATGACAGTGTGACGGGAGTTTTTTTTCGTAAGACATTAAGAGTGTAGAATTTTAAAAATTACTGTAACACTATCATGGTCATCAACCGATGACTCCACTGAGATTCCCTACGCTATGAGTACAGCACGTATGAAGCAATGCAGCTGAGATATCGCACCATACGTACAATGCCTCAGCCATATTGCACCTTACGTGCAATGCGTACCAAAAATGCCATATGCTAGCATGGGAATGGGGAGGCATTGTGCTTCATGTGCAATGGTTTAGCATCGCACCAATTGACGCTATACTCATAGCGTTTGCAGATTCTCAGTGTCCCAAAAATACAACGGGACGTGCCGAAGAGCAGAGTCAAGCCCTTCGTTTTTTTTTCGTGATACCAAAGAGCGGGTCAAAAACTCAAGACCGCAGGTGTCACAATCTAATCGAGTTGCGTCGGAGCGGATCCGGGGCAACGCTCCGCGTCGCTCGTCCTAGACGGTGGTCTGCAGCGTGCGGTGGCGGAGCCCTGCAGCGGCCATGGGGCTCTCGACGATCATCCTCGGCGCTGGCGTCGTTATGTGCATGCTGAAGAATGCCGCGCCTGTTGTTATGGTAGGAATATGTTTTGTTCACTTTTGTGTGCAGCAGTGACAATTAAATGAGTACACTCTCATTCCACTCTCATCACGTTTAAGCGAATGGGACAGTCTGTTTGAGCAATTTGCCCATTTCATGAGTCCAATTCTCAACCGACCCGTCGCCCAATCGACTTCTCGCGTCACCAATTCTTGATGAGGCATTCCAGAGCCGATTGACGGTGGTAGAAGTTGACCATTGACGATTTTGCTCATTTTTGTAGTGAAAGTCTACAAGTCCACGACCGCCGGCCCCCGAAAATGTCTCGAGGGACTATGTTAAAAAGGCGTTTGAAGAGGTGCTGATAAAAAATCGAAAGTACTCCAGAGACATACTTTTTGGTCCCAAACCACCTAAGCCTTTCATTCCACAAACCGTATGAGATAGAGCAAAACTGTCTGAAAACAGCTTGTCAGAAATCCGATTTTGAACCAAAAAAGTCCTCATGCAAATTGCTGTCAGACGCTTCGATCAAAGAAATCCCATTGAATTGAATACTCAGCAGGTGTCAATGTTGTGAGCACTGCAGCGCCCAAATCATACCCACAACCTCGATAACTCGAGCCGCTTGATTTTAGATAGTCGTCTCAGAAATGATTTCCCGCCTAGAACGAATCCAGTTTGGATTCCGGGATGGGGAGAAAATTGAAAGTTGTAAAACACTCAAAAAAGGTATTTTTGGACTTTGAGTGCATTTGTATTACCGATGGACTGTTCTGGGGTCGATTCAACGTGCAGATTCGGATTTGCCACTCAATTTGACATGAAGGTGCTCATTTGCATACCTTAGGACCCGAAAGAAAAGAATTCCGGACCATTTCAGTAAAAATGTGCAATTTGGTCAGAAACGACTAAAGGAAAAAAAAAGCCAATAATTTTGATTGCTTAGTTCCCATACTAATTGACCTAGAGGGCTGAAATTTTATGGGGGTATTAACCTATGGATAGGTGACATTTGCAGTGTGATACGCTCAGCGTGATGCACCTATAATGAATTTGTAGAGTAGCGCTTGTGGGACATGTATTTGGCATATTTGGTACACACGTCTGCACACTCTCAGCCTCTTGCTGACTTTGTCATCAGTATAACCAGGTACTATTGCTTACAACAATAATATGTACTAGTAATTCCTTTTTAGATACGTACAATTTACTGCATACATCTATTAAGGAAAGTTCTTTGTCAGTAAGTACTGACACATACGTAAATAACAGTTATTACAAAAGCGAAGAGAACGTATTATTGTTGCACAAATTGCTAGGTCTGCTTCTGACAAAATGTCAATAACCATGTAAATAGCGAGTCAATAGCGAGTCTGAGAGTGTACACAACATACCAGATAAAATTGTTGCTACCCACTGCAGCGGGTCTGCGTATGGGGTGACCCATGGGTCTGGGTCACTGTGAGAGGCTGCATGCCAAACGTGGCTGCGATCGGTATTCAACCCTGATAGAAGACTTCCGCTGTCCGCAGAATGGAGCGACTCCCGTCGCAGGGAAATGCGTCATGTACGGGGAGTGCAACGTCGACGAGAAAGGCATGAAGCAAAACTGCGCTTACTCCGGTCCGCCAAAAAACATGACCGACGTCAGCGGGAGGGAACGACTACGAGCGGACTGTCCAAACTTGTTCGACGAAAATGGTGGTAAGCGTGACTCATCCTTTTTTTTAAGGTTCGCAAAACATGCAATTTTCCCCCTACTCTCTTTCCTGAACTCATCAAATTATTCGTCTTCGAAAACTGAAAATTGTTCAAAGTTGCGTGAGTTATCAATATGCACCCGTCTCGTGCTTTCCAATACCTAGCAAATTTCTGATTCTGCTACACGGTCTAAACCTTACGAAATTTTTTTGGAGCATCTGTAAAGTACAAACTATTTAGTTTGTAATACGAAAAAATAGTTCGTAAATTGCAAACTTGTTTTCTTTGTAACCTTACGTCCGCTCAGATTACTTTGTTATGACAAGCTACTTTTCTTTGTAAGGTCTAAAATAGGTTGTTGGCTTATCAGAGTGTAATGCTCATTTACATTTGAGTGTGTGTGTGTATGTGTGTGTGCGTGAGCGCGCGCGCGTGCACACACGGTAAAACGGTTCCTGGTTTTCCCTGGATGCCCGGGGCTAAAACAGGCGATTTCCAGGAAGTTCGTGGGAAAACCAGGAAACGTTTTCACCGTGTGTATTTTTTCTTACGTTGACAGAAGGTTAGATGGGCTGTTCCGGCCCTTTATCGAAAACGCCCCACTTGACTCTGTCTAGACGCCTTCGTGTGCTGCAGCGAGGCCCAGATCGAGACCTTGCACGACAACCTCCTCAAGGCGGCGGGGATCTACAGCCGCTGCCCCTCCTGCTTCCGCAACTTCTTCAACATGTTCTGCGAGGTGACATGCTCGCCGACGCAGGCAGAATTCATGGAGGCCGTGGAGACGAAAACGAATGCCGCGGGTGAGTTCACTGACTCTCATTCCGGGAAAATGAAATCACGTCGGCACGATCGTGACAAAATGTCCTTTGAGCATTTCGTCACGCTTATTCACTCCCAAACGAGCGTGACATTTTTTTCCCCATACCTCCATCATCTCACAGTAATAATGGTAATTATGGTAATAGGATTGTTACACTTTAGGCGTGACTGTCCACTCACATGCACAGTAAAAACTCTATGAAGAATCGCTTAATAGTACGAAGAAAATTAAGGCATTGTAAAATCTACAAAGAAATGCTTCGTATTATGAAGCAAGATCCTTCGTAATGTGAAGCATTTGTTCATACAGTAATACGAAGCAATTCTACAATGCCTTCATTTTCTTCGTAGTTATGAAGCAAATGCTTCGTAGGCTTGTCCGCCCGCCCAACAGGCATTTTTGGCGGGCCTGCCTTGTCGGGTGTTTGCAGGGGCTCTCCCGTGCCCATACTTTAAACCGCTATATCTCCTAACCGGTTTGAGATACAACTCTGTGCGTGGTCTCATTCGATTCAGCGCGTCTTTTTCTACTCAACATGATCACCCACACACACCAAGAAGGCAGAGAACGTCAAACAATGCTCAAAACCTGCATTTTTTAAAAAATAAATGGCATAATTTGCATACTTTGAACCGCTATATCTCCTAAGCGGTTTCACATAAAAATCTACGCGTGGTCTCATTCGATTCATCGCGTCATTTTCTACAAGATAAAATCATCAGAAGTTTTTGTCCACATATTTTTCCCAGAAACCCCAAGAAAAAACTGTTTTTTTAGGTATTTTAGGGTGTTTTGGGGGTTTACTCCACAGGTATTCGTCGGAGGGCAAATCTGAGGTCATATTCTTGTTCCTTGGCCAATTTTACATGAAGTGACCAAATTTTAGCTCTCTACTATGAAAAGTGTAAAATTAGTCCAAAATTCCCGAATGCGTGTTTTTTCTCCAAAAGTTAAACTAAAGTTGGCCATATCTCCGGTAATAAATTTTTGCTGGACCTAATATTTTGGCTTTAGACTCTCCTTTAGTTAGTTATCAAGCCTAAAAAAATTCAGGAAAATCGGGGAGGGTCGCTGGAAGAAGTGGTCCGTCTTAGTTGATTTTGCTCTGTGGCACTGCACCATACGTGCTATACTCATAGCGTTTGGAATCTCAGTGTGTGTTCATGGAAAAGTGTGTACGGTTTCTACTGTGCTGTTTTCATGTTACGTAACTCTGGCAACCTGGGGCCGCTCAACAGGGACCAAGTACGTGACGGAACTGAATGTCTACACGACCCAGGACAGCATGGACGGCTTGTTCGACTCTTGCAAAGGCGTTGTCATGCCCCAGAACGGCAAGTACGCCACCGACATCGCATGCGGTGCGTACGACGCCTCCACCTGCACCACCGAAAGGTCTGATATCATCTTGAGTCGACTCATACTTAGTTGTAGCGGCCTCCTTGCAGCCGGCAGGTGCGCCGGTTGTTGTACTCCGCTGCCTCTGCAGGTGTTTATCGGTGAACACCTGCACCGCCTTCTAATCCATTGACATCAATCGAGTGTCCATGTATGAATGGACGCTACTGTACGCTCTGGGATAGCCTGAGTCACCTCGTGGACCGAAAGGCTACTTTGAAAACTTCGCGTGATTTGCAATCTGAGGTGTACCACTTGAGGTTTACCACTTGCGGTTATAACCTCCCGACAAGAGTTCAGCATATTAACCGGGAACCTGAAAAAAATATTTTTTTTAAAACTTACAAAAATTTCTCGCTTATTTTGAAATCTTAAATCTGAACCACCAGCGAGATAAGCGTCTTTTTAAAGGTTTCTTACAAAGGTGGTTTTACTCCGAATTTTTTTTTGTTCCACTTTGACGGTGTTCCACCCCACACCCTAGGAGCAATAGCGGCATCTCGTTGGCAAAGTTTTCGAACCGTTGCTTGGTGAAGATATAGTGTGACTTTATGAAGCTATCGGGACGAACGAAACTCAAGTCCGAGGTATTTCACTGGTCCTGCGTCCGCCGGCGTCCGCAGAACTGGGGGCTGAAAGAATCATATCCGTTGGATTGCTAATTTTGTCACGTTCGTTTGAATTCAGACGAATGTAGGTCCAGGTTCAAATGTTTATGACAGCCTGATGAAACGTCCGCGACACTTTCAAACAAATGTGGCATCGTATTCAGCCGAACGTGGACAATACTCACATTCTGACGAATGTGACGTCACACTCGTTGAACAGTGTAGTAGACAAAGCCACGGAAACACTCATGGGATACATCTCTTCTTTTTCGTTGCAGATGGTTCAAATATATGGGAGAAGACAATCCGTTTTCTCCCTTCCCAATTAAGTTCGTGACGTCGAGAGGCATTTTCAACGACATGTCCAACAAGGTTATGAATATCGTCCGCTGCAACGAGAGTGCTGATGTAAGTCGGGGGTTCAAGACGATGCACTTCCATCACACATGGTTTTTATCATCTGGTACAATGATTTCGATTTACATCAAGGCCTATTTAATCGATGTGACGACTGTAAGAGTTTCTATTGTGAAACCAGACTGTTGTGACCGACTGGAAACAATTTAATGCATTCACAATTTTGGTCACAAATGTAACCAGCCAGTAAGAAAATTTGACACTTGCTGCCTCCAAATTTTGTCACCAGATTCCGTAACGCTCAAAATTGCTTCCAATTCGTAACAGAACAAATTGGCCACAGACATTTAGTGTATGCAAATAGCCCAAACGCGGTCTGAAGTATCTCTGTTTGGGCAGCCAGATGCACTGTGGCAAAAAGCTACGGAAAATTCTGTAAACAGCTTGTGGTAGTCCTCCGTAGCCCCCTTATCAATATTCTCTGTAGACTCTTACAGCATTTTCCGTAGGACCGCACAGTATTCTTCGTAGGACCTTACAGTGATCTCCGTAGGACTAAACAGTCTTCCAGGTCCTACGGAGAAGACTGTGTGGACTTACAGAGAATACTGTACGGCCCTACGGAGAATACTGTAAGAGCCTACGGAGAATATTGATAAGAGGGCTACGGAGAATCCTGGAAAAAAAATTAACAGAATTTTCCGTACCTTTTTGCCACAGTGTGATCTCATTTGAAATGGATATGGTACTCGCCTCTTTTCGCCAGGCGTCTTCCGATCCGTGTTCCTGCGTGGACTGCCCCATGAGCTGCCCGAGCGACGACGGCTCCCTGTTCAAGCCCAGCAAGTCCGTGTTCATCAAGGTCCTCGGCGTGGACGTGTTCGTCCTCGCCGCCGTGCTGGCCTACGTCGTGGTCCTCGTTGCGACGGCCGCGCTCGTGCGCTGCCAAGTCCTTCGCAGGCGAAAGCGACAAGGTCGGCATACTTTGTCCCAAGCTCTCAAGTGTCAAACGTGGCACTTGGCCACACTGTAAAAAATATGTTGTGAATTTGCGACGGAATATTTTCCGAAGGGTTTTTGGGAATGTCCAAAAGTGCACTGTAAATGTTTCTTTCCTACGGGAACTTTTGTAAGTCAACGTAGGTTCGTCGTTAATTTACGAAGGTTCTTTGTAAATTTACGAAGAAAAATCGTAAATTTACAAAATCTGTTGTTACGAAGGGCTTCGTAAATTTACGACGGGCTTCGTTAATCTACGACGGGTCTTCGTAAATCTACAGCGGACCTTCGTAAATAAACGAAGGAAGTGTTGGCAATTTTTTTGCCGAAGGATCCGTCGTTAATTCCAGACGTATAATTACGAAGAATCTCTGTATATTAACGAAGGTTCTTTGTTTGTAAACGAAGGTTCCCTGAAAATTAACGAAGGATCTTTGTAGATTTACGAAGGTAATTCGTAAATTTCCATTGTAATTGTAAAATCGGCAGAGATTTTTCAAAAAACTAACGAAGGTTTTTGTAAATATACGAAGAGCTTCGTAAATTAACGAAGGAACCGTTGGCAATTTTTTTTGCCGAAGGGTCCGTCGTTTATTCCGGATATTAACTTTTACAGTGCAATACATGCGGGAATTGTTTCCGGATTGGGCCTGACTACTTGCACACCAGTCACACAGTGGGCTAGAAGACCGGTGGAGGCCGCCGCCAGAATTCTAGGCGCATTTTGAGTTCTGGAGTCGCTTCACGAGACTGGAACCGCAAATGGGTTACCCCATCAATGGATTGATCTTCAAACGAGGACTCCATTGGTAGGGTCACACGTTCGGCTCGAGTCCCGTTTACTCAGGAGCACAAGGCGCGTCTAGAGTTTTGGCCTCCGTCACCGATCTTCTGGCCCACTGTGAGTCGCACGAGTGAAAGAATTAACATTTTATCGTTCCTTGCCTGCTGAGCAGAGCTGGCCGCAGACCGGGCGTCGATATCTGCGGCTCCCGAAAACTTCTCCCCGACCAGCGGAAAAGGAACCTCGAAGCCAAGCCGACTCGAGGAGTGGGGCTACAAGTGGGAGAACGTGCTGGAGGATGGCTTCAGACGTCTTGGTTTCGGTCAGTTCAATCAAATTGAGGGTTATCAAATCAATGTTCTCTACTGGCATTGCCCTTCGCACACTGTTATTACAAATGTGATATTGAACTCATTTCAAAGGCAATACTACTATTATTTTACATTGGCGCCATGGAAAAGTTATTGCATTACTGGTGCATGCTTTAACGTATGTTATAATTACACAAAAATGTCAAAGTATGGGTCAAAACGCTAGAAACTTGTTTCATTTGTAAAGCGACATTTTTTTTATTGCTGCCACAGATGCGATATTTTAAAGGAATCACATTTGACTTTATATCGCTGCTTATTGTATGAAACCTATGTACCTATGAAACCTATATTTGTCACGTTGGAAATATCAGTGTATTGCTCACAAAATAGCAACTCGCTAAAAACGGTGCCTGGTTTCCCAGGAATTCCGTGAAAATCGCTTCACTGAAATCGAAAGTATGGTGAAATTACCACATTTGGCTGTGATGAGACCAAAAGTGTGGTTACCGCATACTACCACACGTACAAATGTGGAAAGAAATACACCCCGTCAAATAAGTGGTGTACAAGCCTATAATTTAGCCGTTACCTTATGTATTGCGTGGTCAAGACCACCCTTTTATGAGGTATGGAGGACTGACCACAAACTTGCTGTGGTATTCACCATGAATTTCATGTGGTGCTTTGTTGACCACTGATTTTTAGGGGTATTGACCGCATTTCCACGTGTGGTAAATTTGGGTAACCACGGTTTTGCACCTACCACACATTACCTGTAGGCTGTACCACACTTCGAAGGACAGTGTTATGTCTTAACTTGAAGCTACCCGGGAAAACCGGGAACTGTTTTCGCCATACATCTTGTTCCATTCTCAATTCTTTTTTGTCGTGTAGTGTGCGCGTCCAACCCGCTCATGGTGTTCTTCCTGGCGTCGTGGCTGCTGGCCGTGCTCATTTACAACGTGGGCAGCGTGCAGGTGGTTTCCAACCCGGTGCAGCTGTGGGCGTCGCCAACGTCCCAGAGCAGGAGAGAGAAGGACTACTTCGATACACACTTCGGGCCGTTTTACCGCGCAGAGCAAATTTTCATCAAGGCGGTGAACCTGCCCGAGGTACTTAACAAAACTGAGGTTGCCCTGTGCTGCTAGTTCGGCACTGAATCGAAACGAAATTTCGTATCTCTGGTGCTTTGTCTTCAAACTAAAGTAGGCAGATAAGGTGAAATGTCACAATATGACATAAGGAGTTCCAATCGACATCGAATCGTTTACTTCGATTCAAATTCAATCCAGTTACTTTTCCGGATTCAATTCGAAAAATGGTTGAAGATTCGATATGGATTTGATCCGAAACGAAAACCCTTGATGCGATGGTGGCTATCGGTGTACCGAACGTACCGGTACCTCCATTAGGGTGGTCCACTTTTTTTAAAAGTTCCAAAAATTGAGGAGCGCCGTCCAGATTCTTAAAGTAGGTGTAAAATCATGAATTTTGATACAAATATGATAAGATTTGGACCATCCTTAGGGGTCCATCAACGCGCCTGAACTTTAAAGAAAAGTTGAAAATGTAGCGGTATACTAAAATCGATGCTGTTACGAGAGTCTTTGTCCGATTTTCGATTGCAAAACGGCGATCTTTTCAGAAAAGTGCGCTCTACTTGATGATGTACATAAAATGACGATCCGACGCATTGCCTATTTTCCAGGGGCGTACAATCCCGTTTTTAGCCTCTAAATCCAACATGTTCTTGCGTTTTGAAGGTGTTTGAGTCGTCCGATCGGATTTTTTGGGTCACTATTCGACGCGCCTGATCAAAACCTTTCGAAAAATGTCTCAGGCGTCAAAATCGGTTGGTTTGCCTACTGTACAGGAGCAAAAAACCACTGAAATTCGCTTAAAAATTGCTTTTTCGGGATACGAAATATCCTGTTTGGCATTGGGTCGGATTTCTTGTGGTGCCATTTGACGTACCTGGTCAAAAACTTTCGATTACCGTTTCGAGCGCCTGAATCCAGAGGGTCGCGTATCCTACAGACGAATTTTTCGACATTCGACATTTTTTGCTTGTAGGGTCGGCAATCCACCGGATTTGTACACCCAGGACGGTAATTGGAAGTTTTTGACCAGGCGCGACAAATGGCACCACAAGAAATCCGACCCAATGCCAAACAGGATATTTCGTATCCCGAAAAAGCAATTTTTAAGCGAATTTCAGTGGTTTTTTGCTCCTGTACAGTAGGCAAACCAACCGATTTTGACGCCTGAGACATTTTTCGAAAGGTTTTGATCAGGCGCGTCGAATGGTGACCCAAAAAATCCGATCGGACGACTCAAACACCTTCAAAACGCAAGAACATGTTGGATTTAGAGGCTAAAAACGGGATTGTACGCGCCTGGAAAATAGGCAATGCGTCGGATCGTCATGTTATGTACATCATCAAGTAGAGCGCACTTTTCTGAATAGATCGCCGTTTTGCAATCGAAAATCGGACAAAGACTCTCGTAACAGCATCGATTTTAGTATACCGCTACATTTTCAACTTTTCTTTTAAGTTCAGGCGCGTTGATGGATCCCTAAGGATGGTCCAAATCTTATCATATTTGTATCAAAATTCATGATTTTACACCTACTTTCAGAATCTGGACGGCGCTCCTCAATTTTTGAAACTTTTAAAAAAAGTGGACCACCCTAACCTCCATTCACGACTCTATGATGAAAATTCTCTATTTTATGGACAAGATTTCAATATGGTGAAAATTCCCTATTTTATGGTGAAGCTCTATATCATGGTGCGCATTCTTTACATGATGGTGAACATTCTGCGTACTATGCTGGTGCAGCTGACTTCAAAACTTGACTCTAAAGATTCATTGTGCCTTTAAAAGATTTCTTCAAATTGCATTTGTATTATGGAGAAAGTCTCCACCATATGTTAATGCAGACATCAACCATAAGACAATTAAGTCGTCCCCAGTGGCCATGCTTAACCGAAACCTTCACTGCATCCTTCTTGACTGCTGTGTAATCTTAGGCGTTTCTCAGATCAGCCACGAGATGCCTCAGGGGACAGTGAACTTTGGCCCAGTGTTCGATAAGGATTTTCTTCTTCAAGTGCGGGAGCTCCAGATGGCGATCCAAGACGTACGTACTCACAACATTCCCGCAGACGGGACTTCATATGAGCTCATATCTCGTTCTGTCTATTCCATGACAACTCTACAAACTGAAGTGTGTACTCAGTATGCGTCTACAGATGCATACTTGCAAGTACACATCTACACGGTGAAAACGGAACCTGGTTTTCCCAGCAACCCAATGAAGAAGGTATAGGCGATTTCCAGGAAGTTCCTGGGAAAACCAGGAACCGTTTTTACTGTATACAGATGCATACTCACATGAGTTCACGTATACAGATGCATACTCAGCTGAGTACGCGTCTACAGATGCATCGGCTACTTGGCTGAGTGCGTGTATCTGAGTATGCATGTGTAGACGTGTACTTGCAAATGCATCTGTAGACGTGTACTTGCAAGTGCATCTGTGAGTATATGAACTTCAATTTGTAGAGAAGACGCGGATGTGGGGGCAGGGCGATGGGGGTGGGGTAGGTAAGGGAGTATGGGGCGATTTGTAACAGGGGCGATTCGTAACAAATGCGTTTATTAATTTAAGTGGAGGGAGCAGAGGAAAATCTGAGTATGGCCCCTCTTTCGCTTCAAGTACAGGGTCTTTGAACAATTGAAGCGGATGTGATCGGTGCTCAGGTATAGTTTTGAAGGGCGTCTGAAACATAGGGTACACCGAAATTTCGGCAAACAGGCAAATCTTTTATTTTGAGTTTTAGGAAGTTCCTGTCTGAGGCTTCCCAGGTATGAATCACCTTTGAAGTACCGTTGGGGCCTTGAAGCGTGACCCCTTTACAATGTAAACACGTGGCATAAGTTGCTTTTACTTTGTCCAGTGATAGTTAGGGACGGATTTCTTGCGTAACAGGCATTTGGGGTGCACTAGACTGTCCCACGAAAAATTCGATGTTTGAAAATGCAACCTCTCACCCCGGACTTAAGTTCCTTATGTAAAAAAAGGACTCAATGATTTTTTTCAGAATTTTTGAACAGAATTTAGAGGTCGCGCATCGGCAAAAACACGTTTTTTGCCATCTTTCTCGAGTTTTTAAAAATGCCTTACCACCACACCACACTCAGCCCCACCCCCTCCCCTTAGTTGGACTTCTCGTGACCCCGTGACTTCGTTCAGTAGGACACCCGTCCCTCCTGAGCCCATCTAGACCCTCAAATCGGCACCCAAAACGATAAAAATAAGTCGAAAATTTCATAAAAAGCTGCAAAAGTTGTGCAAATGTTGTGTTTTTTGATAATCTGACATCACAGAACGATAGAGCGTGAAAAATTACGTAGGGGTGAAGACAAATGAGCACGCCACACGGTCAGTTTCGGTTACATAAGCGCGAGCGAAATAGAACGCCCCCACGAATTCATACATTTCCTGTGCAAAACTTGAAGCGTGGGGCTTTTATTCCTTTTGTGGGATGTCAAGAATCATCTGATGATTGTTTTATATGAAAGTTGACGAAATAAAAGCTCTGCATGTATTAAAATTACAAATATATGGTGCGGGTCGCTGGTGGTGCCACCTGTCGGTAGCCATGGCAACTACATCGCCGCCTTTTCGCGCGCTTTGCCGCGCACACGAAACGAACCGCCCAGCGAGCGTTGTTTTGAATCGTCGTTTGTGTTTTGGGATTTATTGTGTGGAATGATGGCGTCCCGACGGAAGACGAGGCTGCAGGCTCACCTACCTTCGAGCTAAGGAAACAGTCAATCATAGACCAGCTAGAAACTCTGTTTGACGTAGCTCATCATGAAGCTACAAGCCAGCACCGACAAGCCAGTGCACCCTCTTCTTCCGTCGGGACGCCATCATTCCACACAATAAATCGGGGGCGTTCTATTTCGCTCGCGCTTATGTAACCGAAACTGACCGTGTGGCGTGCTCACTTGTCTTCACCCCTACGTAATTTTTCACGCTCTATCGTTTTGTGATGTCAGATTATAAAAAAACACAACATTTGCACAACTTTTGCAGCTTTTTATGAAATTTTCGACTTATTTTTATCGTTTTGGGTGTCGATTTGAGGGTCTATATGGGCTCAGGAGGGACAGGTGTCCTACAGAACGACGTCACGGGCTCACTAGAAGTCCAACTAAGGGGAGGGGGTGGGGCTGGGTGTGGTGTGGTGGTAGGGCATTTTTAAAAACTCGAGAAAAATGGCAAAAACCGTGTTTTTGCCGATGCGTGACCTCTAAATTCTGTTCAAAAATTCTGAAAAAAATCATGGAGTCCTTTTTTTACATAAGGAACTTAAGTCCGGGGTGAGAGGTGACATTTTCAAACATCGAATTTTTCGTGGGACAGTCTAGCACTGAGAAAAAAGTCTGGTTAAAAGTACCAGACCAATCCTAGTTAAACGAGTACTAGTTACTCATACGAGAATCCTAGTAACTCTCACCAGATGATCAGTTGCAGTAACCAGATCGGGTGTTGTGACATTTACCAGGTGTCTGGTTAATAATCCTGGTATATTTTACCAGACTGTTCCGTAATTGGCACCATACGTAAAACTTCGAAATATTCGTTTTAATTGAAATGTTCGGGTGTCAAAAAGTAAACTGCAACCGGTTTCGTTATTTTCGGAGTCTTAAATCCGAAAGAAACACTGGGAGTATTTCCCTGAGCCAGACACGTAGAGAGTCACCTGGTGGGGATCCACTCGACCCACAGGCGACGTGGTGGCGCAGTGGTAACGTGCCCGTCTCACAAGTGTGAGATCCCGGTTCGAATCCGGAGGAGAGGAGGAGGGAAAAAAACAATTCAGAGGTTGTTCGTTAACGAAATCGACGTCACATCAGGTTTCATCACTACTAAAAAATATTTTATTAAATTTTGGACTTCTTATTTCAGTTTTGTAAGCACATTAACTAACCAGGATGTTTTGGTAAAAACTACCAGAAGGGGACCTGGCGGCATTGTGAGGATAACTATAAATCTGGTACGGTTTACTAGACTGAGGCCAACTAGACAGTTTAGTATTTTTTACCAGAATTCTAGTTGAGTTATATTCTATCAGACAGTCTGGTATTTGGTACCAGGATTCTGGTTATCGTTACCAGACTTTTTTTTCAGTGAGGGTGCACTCTACCAAAAATGTCCTGTAAATGCCGTTAATTTATTACCAGTTTTCACTGTAGGTCAATTCACAGCGTTTGCTGTGAACTAGTTCACGGCGTTTACTGTGATCTCGGTTACAGTGTTCACTGTGATCTGGTCCCCAGTAAACACTGTGATCTGTTCCCAGTAAACACTGTGAGTTTGACGCCGCTGAGCACCGAAGTACTACAAATCAGGCTCCAATTCACGGCGTTTACTGTGGCCAGATCACAGTGAACACTGTAACCCAGATCACAGTAAACGCCGTGAACTAGTTCACAGCAAACGCCGTGAATTGCATAACAGCAAACATTGGTAATAAATTAACGGCGTTGACAGGACATTTTTGGCCCGCCCTTCTATTCAAAAAATAGGGGGAGGGCCTATGCATTTGCCTTTGTGTCTGTGTGTTGTTGTTGTTGTTGTTGTTGTTGTTGGCGTCTGTGTACAAGGAAGGAGTTGGGCTAGAGTAACCAGATTTAAAGGGTACTTCAGGAGTACCGTCCAAACAAATAATCCGGTGGTGCAAATCCAGTCCGGGTCGCACAAGGGCTGCTGCAGGTGCATCATGGTTTACATGGGCGGGAGGGGGATTTCCGCCATTATTGGTGCTAGCAGGGCACATAGGGGTATTTTTGGAATCGGGGCGACGAGACAAGATGAATGGACCTGGTCCCGACCCCATCGGCCGCTTTTACAAGTTGGCCAGATCAGGATCTTCAAAAAAGGGGGTCGACCGACTAAAAAAATTTATTGCAGATTTCGATTGGTCTCAGCAAGACCTTTTCAACGAGGGGTCGGAAAGGGGGTCCAGGAGCCCGACTTCGTCTATTAGTCACATCAGGATCTTCAAAAAAGGGGGTCGACCGACTGAAAATTTTTACTTCAGTTTTGGATAGGTCTTGGCAAGACCTCTTCAACGAGGGGTCGGAAGGGGGGTCCAGGAGCCCGCCTTCATGAGTTATGGGAAAAAGTGCGACGGACTCGTTTTGCGCTCCTGCTGTGCCTCTATTGCAAGGAGTTGCAGTAGCATGGCAAATATGGGTATTTTCGGAATGAGGGCGAAAAGACAAATGAAATGGGCATATTCTAAGGACAGTTGGAGTAAAAAGTGTAAGGACTATTGCATATTGTGAATAGAAAGGCGGGCCTAAGTCACGATGGTACATCGATAACTTTGCTTTACCCGCTCACGGTGTGTGTGATGCGAGCGGGCCGAAGGCCCGGGCCTTCGACTGGTCAAGTTGGGTCTGATGCGAGGGCCGAAGGCCCGAGAAAAGGCCGCCGGCAGGCCAAGCTGGGCCGGCCCCCTGTCGAACCGAGTTGCCGGCGCAGCGAAGCGGAGCTGGCAACTCGGTTCGACGGAAGGGCGGGCCCTAGCTTGTTTGTAGAGTGTGACTCGTAACAGACCCGCATAAAAACAAGAATTAAAGTAGTTTTTGCTGTTAAATGCTTGACTTTTTTCTCGAATCATCTGCTGTTTTATTCCAATACATTTACACAGCTCGAAATGCATTTTGAAGCGAGTTATTCTATGCTTTCCTCTAAAATTGAAAAAAGTGAGGTTAGGATTGACGTAGCCTATCAGTTAATGCTGAGGCGGTCAACGGCAGCTTGTAATGTAGATTTTCAGACGTCTGCAGGACACCCCGAAGAACAACTGGTGGAGGAGATAACATTCCCGACGATGTTTCAATTAATGTGTAGGATGTTACTAAAAGCCCCATGGCTGTTACAAATCACCCCATGCTGGGGCGATTCGTAACAGCATGCAAGGGTTTGGAAAACGTCTTTGATTTCAAAGATTACGGACTCCAGATTGATCCAATGGAGCTGCACAGTAGGGTGGTCCACTTTTTTTAAAAGTTTCAAAAATTGAGGAGCGCCGTCCAGATTCTGATAGTAAGTGTAAAATCATGAATTTTGATACAAATATGATAAGATTTGGACCATCCTTAGGGATCCATCAACGCGCCTGAACTTTAAAGAAAAGTTGAAAATGTAGCGGTATACTAAAATCGATGCTGTTACGAGAGTCTTTGTCCGATTTTCGATTGCAAAACGGCGATCTATTCAGAAAAGTGCGCTCTACTTGATGATGTACATAACATGACGATCCGACGCATTGCCTATTTTCCAGGCGCGTACAATCCCGTTTTTAGCCTCTAAATCCAACATGTTCTTGCGTTTTGAAGGTGTTTGAGTCGTCCGATCGGATTTTTTGGGTCACCATTCGACGCGCCTGATCAAAACCTTTCGAAAAATGTCTCAGGCGTCAAAATCGGTTGGTTTGCCTACTGTACAGGAGCAAAAAACCACTGAAATTCGCTTAAAAATTGCTTTTTCGGGATACGAAATATCCTGTTTGGCATTGGGTCGGATTTCTTGTGGTGCCATTTGTCGCGCCGGGTCAAAAACTTCCAATTACCGTCCTGGGTGTACAAATCCGGTGGATTGCCGACCCTACAAGCAAAAAATGTCGAATGTCGAAAAATTCGTCTGTAGGATACGCGACCCTCTGGATTCAGGCGCTCGAAACGGTAATCGAAAGTTTTTGACCGGGTACGTCAAATGGCACCACAAGAAATCCGACCCAATGCCAAACAGGATATTTCGTATCCCGAAAAAGCAATTTTTAAGCGAATTTCAGTGGTTTTTTGCTCCTGTACAGTAGGCAAACCAACCGATTTTGACGCCTGAGACATTTTTCGAAAGGTTTTGATCAGGCGCGTCGAATAGTGACCCAAAAAATCCGATCGGACGACTCAAACACCTTCAAAACGCAAGAACATGTTGGATTTAGAGGCTAAAAACGGGATTGTACGCCCCTGGAAAATAGGCAATGCGTCGGATCGTCATTTTTGTACATCATCAAGTAGAGCGCACTTTTCTGAAAAGATCGCCGTTTTGCAATCGAAAATCGGACAAAGACTCTCGTAACAGCATCGATTTTAGTATACCGCTACATTTTCAACTTTTCTTTAAAGTTCAGGCGCGTTGATGGACCCCTAAGGATGGTCCAAATCTTATCATATTTGTATCAAAATTCATGATTTTACACCTACTTTAAGAATCTGGACGGCGCTCCTCAATTTTTGGAACTTTTAAAAAAAGTGGACCACCCTACTGCACAGTCTAGATGAAGGGCCAGACTGCTCAACTGGCACAAGTTTGACACCGATATGCAGAATGTTCTTAATTTTGTATAGAGAATTCCGAAATCTGTTACAAATCACCCCATACTCCCTTACTCCTCATCCCTTGTTACATGGCTAACATGGTTCCTGTTTTGTTTTTGTTCTTTGCAGGAATTCCCTAGAAATCGCCTTTGCCTTTAATATTGCACTGGAGGAATGTGACGTCATGTTCGTTTTCTCGTGAAAACGGCGATGTTAGTTGGAGCGTGACAAACGGTGAAAATTCACAGTCAAACGAATGTGACACACCGCACCGCTTTGTCACATTACTGCAGGTGTGACACGCAATCAGCTGTCGAACTGTCACATTAAAACGAATGTGGCACATGGTACCCAAGTACACATGGCGTGTCACATTCAAACGAATGTGACAGTACATGGGTGTCACATTCGTTTGGATGTGACACGACATGTGTACTTGGGTACCATGTGTCACATTTGTTTTAATGTGACAGTTCGACAGCTGATTGCGTGTCACACCCGAAGTAATGTGACAAAGCGGTGCGGTGTGTCACATTCGTTTGACTGTAAATTTTTAACGTTTGTCACGCTCAAACTAACATCGCCGTTTTCACGTAAAAACGAACGTGACGTCACATTCCTTGACTACCAGTGTGCGCGCTGGGAAAGCCACAAATCGTTTTCGCCGTTTTCGCCATCAGTAAAGGTATTGGCGATTTCCAGGGCGTTCCAGGTACAGGCAGGAACCGTTTTTCGCCGTGTACTTGATGAGGTACTTAACCCGCCTGTACTCGAAATGTCCTATACAGAAGATACTTCATGTTGAAAATGTTGAAAAAGGTGCAGCAGACTTTACACCTTTAAAATTCACTGCAGTGATAGAAATTTCTGTGGCATCACGGAGAAAATCTCTACCTTCATATGTTGCGGCAGACTTTCACCGAGACTTTCACTCACTTCGAGTGCGAAAAGCATTACTTTGTCCCTTACTGCTTTTCGCCGTCCTTCGGGAAATCCTCAGGAATCCTGGATCCGCACCTGTCCGTAACCGCACCTTACTGTCCGCAGCTTGGCAGGGAGGAGGGCATGCCTCTGGAAAGCGTCTGCTTCGCCCCGCTGCAGAACGACTTCACCGGCCCCGTCACTATCGACAAGTGCACCATCATGACGATCTGGGGCTACTTCCAGAATTCCGTCGAGAAGTTCAACAAAGAGGGGGAGAAGAACGGGTTGAAAACCAACTACCTAAACGTAATTTACGACTGCCTTCAGTAAGTACCTCGTTCAATAGTTAGTTTTCCAAGGCAAAATTGCGTTGTAAAGCATGGAAAGTTGTAGAAAAGGTGACTCTATTTAAGCAATTTTTCAGATGGAATAAAATCAGGTTAAAAGGTGACGGCTCTATCTAATTCCTCAAATATTAGAAATAACACCTTAAAATTAAACTCCTTCAGTTTCTCAAAAACTTTTTTTCCAGATAATTTTTACTATTACTTTGTTTCTTCTAATGTGATGCTGGGACAAAGTTGGTCAGCAATAGGCTAGGCTTGCTTTAATGCAGAATAAACTGGGTGATTTCAGTGTACAATAAATGTCCTGTGTAAAATGTGTCTCAGGAACTCATACGATCCGTCGTGCCTCGCACCGTTTGGAGGCGCCGCGGAAAACCTCCTGGTCGTTGGTGGCTTCTTGGATGATGCCAACAAGACCATGGTGCAGGCCAACGCGCTCGTGCTCAACTTCATCGTCACCAACCACGTGAACCCGGAGGACAACAAAGTCGCGATGGAATGGGAGCAGAAGTGAGTGAAACGGGAAACTCGAAACACTCCCCAGCCTTCGCCGCTGTGTCAATAAATCATACATTGCGCACCTGAGGGTAAATTCGTATACATAGAAAGATTTTAACAACCAAACTTCAGTTGAAAACTTCGCTTTAGGAACCGATTGACTCTGCGGTGTAGCAGGGGGCGGTAACACTACAAAGCAGGAGTGAGGCGAAGCTCTCGCCTCGTGCAAGGGTTACGGACTTCTTCGAGATTATTAAAACTAGGACATTGTTTTCAAAACGCTTTGCACAGATCGAAAGAGCATCAAATTTAGGGTGCATTAGACCCATTGACCTTCCCAAAACACCCAATTTCACTTAGCACAAAAGAGAAAATCGCGGAAATGTTTTCACAAAGATGGCGCCCCGACGTTTTTTCCTTAATTATTAGACATATTGTATTTTTCGGTGTTTTCACTTAGATTTTTTGAGGGCTGAAGAAGCAGTTAAAGGACTGCCGATTAGTCTAATGCACCCTTTATGTGATGCTCTTTCAATATGTGCAAAACGATTTGCAAACAATGGCCTACTTTGAATGATCTCGAAGAAGTCCGTGACCACTGCACGGAGCAAGATCAGAGCGAGAGCTTCGCCTCACTGCCGCTTTAGGGTGTTACCGCCCCCTGGGTGTAGTGTTAGGGTGTCTGTGGGCTAGAGCCCTCTCTCTCTCTCTCTCTCTCTCTCTCTCTCTCTCTCTCTCTCTCTCTCTCTCTCTCTCTCTCTCTCACACACACACACACGCACGCACGCGCGCTAACAGTGGCATCGAAAGCACCAGGTCAGAGGATCAACTGACCCCTCAGTTTTTGAACTTCCCCGAGTCAGTCCCCTGAGAAGCAGGCAACCTGCAATACCTTGCCCCTCCAACTTTTTTGACGTTCCGACTCCGACGAATCACTTCAAAATACCGAAAAATAGCCGCTCTACAAATCGAAAAGCGTACATTGTATGCTCTAACTGGAGCATGCCTGCAAGCACGCTCTGGGTAGCGCATGCTTGCCAAGCATGCAGTAACTTGTGCATACATGTGAAGTTACACGCTAACTGACGCATACATCCAGTGCATAAGGGATAGGGAGTTTTCTACATCAGGAAGCGTGTATGCGCTAGTAAGTCCATGCTTGGCAGGCATGCGCTAGCTAGAGCGTGCTTGCAGGCACACACAAAATCTATGTGTGTACTCAGTACACACTTCTAGGTGCGTGCTTACAAGCATGCACTTCTAGGTGTGTACTTGCCTAAGCACGCACCTCTAGAAGTGTGTACTTGAATGAGTACACACTTATAAGTGTGTACTCAGGAAGTAAACACATAGAAGTGCATGCGTTTTCCCTATGCCGCGCATGCACCTCGCAAGTGTGTACTCGTTTTGGCGTAACTCCTCTTTTAACTCTCCTTTCAGACTTATTAACTTTCTCATGGACTGGGAAAAGACGAAGAAACCAGAAAACATGGACATAGCCTTCATGATGGAGCGGTCCATCGAAGACGAGATCCAGAGGGTGTCCAAGACCTCGCTCGGCATCATCATGGCTTCCTACGGATGCATGTTCCTCTATGTGGCTCTGTCTCTGGGACGCGTCACTTCGTGGGCCAGGGTCTTGGTGAGGAAAAAGAAGTGTCTTTGATACTCGCGAACGAAAGAGAAAACACTGATAAAGCTTAAGCGGAGCTAGCTTAGCTTCTTCGTGAACAATAGATTGGGAACTAGCGCGAAGGCACAAAAATATTTGCAAAGGTTCTTTTGTAAATTCATGAAAAATTTTGTTCAAGAACGAAGAATCTTCATAAATTACCGGGAATCTTCGTAGTTACCAAGGATCGACGGGAATTTACGAAGGTGTCGGCAATATTTTTGTCAGAGGAACCTTCGACAATTCCGGATATTAGTTTTTACAGTGTTCGCAAGAAGACAATTGAGTGGTCATTGGACAGAACAACCTATTTTTAATGGGTTTCCCATGTGACTTAACGTCCTTATGCCCAACGGCCGCTGAATTGATAGAAGGAGGGGAGCGCATAAGTTCTTTTATACGCATCAAGAAGAGCGTGCACGGTGGTTGCGTTACACGGCAAAAACGGTTCCTGGTTTTCCCGGGAACTCCCTGGAAATCGCCTGTGTCTCTACCATACTGCGAAATAACGCACATAGTACACAATTTCTGGCAATTTTAATCAGTTTTATTGTACTTTCAAAGTACAACAATTGTTGTACAAAGTACAATGGACCGGCACGACGAGTGCTGGGCAGGCAGGCCTCGTTGTGGTTTGTACAATTCTCGTTGTACTTTCTACAATCCCTGTTGTACTTTTATTGTACAGTTTTTGTTGTACATTTGTTGTACTATTCACACTTTTTCTTGCAGTGTAGGCTTCCTGGGAAAACCAGGTACCGTTTTTACCGTGTACGAAAGGCGCTATGTTAGGCCCAAGTTCCACCAGTTTAGTAATCCCGCATCGTTCTGCACATCCAGGTTGACAGCAAGATCATCGTAGCTGTCTGCGGCGTGGCGACCGTAGCGTTGTCGGTCCTGGCGGCCATAGGCTGGTTCGCCTACCTCCAGATTCCCGCCATTCTCTTGACCTTGGAGGTAACTGGAAAAATATTTCAAAAAAGTACTTTGTTGTCCCCCGTTTACGTGCACACACTAAATTACTATGAAGATTTTGGTGCTGAGCTTCTTTGCACGGACTTGAGCATACGTTGGAATGCACAAGTTCGTGCTTAGCTAAGCAGCACAATTTGCGTTGTTGCTCACGTATTCGTGCATCTCGCGCTGTTAAGTTCTTTGCAAAGCGATGCAGCACACAAAAGCCAAATGTTTGGTGTGCACTCAAAAACGAACCAATAACCGTCACTACACTCTAAATTTAGCATGCCTTGAAACTGGGTGCCTTTGTCGCCTGCTCTACTTTTTAGTGCGCCAAATCTCATCCAGTTTCTGGGAACCGTTGTCGCCTAGTCTCTAGGTGTACAAACCAATGAGGAACTTGCCTTCATCCATGGCTCGGCAGCACCAAAGGTGCCAAAAATGCCCAGAATCTGGGCACCTAGATCGACAGAAATTAAGCTTTGTCACCCAGAAACTAGGCTTGGTCTCCCAGAAACTAGGCACATGTGCATCGAGGGGGAAATCACTCGCGTTACACTCTCATTCCAGGAACGTGACATCACGTTGAAATGAGCGTGACAAAATGTCACGTTCGTTTGAGCATTGTGTCACGTTCCTTTGAATGTGAACGAGCTGATTTTTGGCCGATTCACACCCAAACGAATGTGACACAACGCTCAAACGAACGTGACATTTTGTCACGTTCATTTCAACGTGATGTCACGTTCCTGGAATGAGAGTGTAATAGTCGGGTCACCGATTCCTAGTATTACGCGTAATAAGAATAGCGTAATAGCCAATTTTTTTAAAATTTCCTCTATTTAGGGTCCGATTTTAGCCTAAATATGGATAATTTCGAGCGTAATAAGCCTTCTGTAATAGCGTAATAGAACGTAAAAAGGAGTAGTCGGGTCACAGTTTTTAAGAGTGATTTCCCCCTCGATGTGCATAGTCTACCATGGGGGAGGGCCAGTTGCTAAAATGATTTGTGCACATCGAGAAGTGACGGGTGACTTGGCATCGGGCAAAAAGTCGACCGGCAAAGATTTTCGCTTTAGGCTTTCTGCAACCCTGCGAAACGAGTTACAAACTCGCTTACCGCGTCGGGCAGCTCGGGCCAAATTAGTTGTCATGGCTTTTGCCTCCCAAAGTCGTTGGACCACACCTGTTCGATTTCTTTTGGGTCTAGCCACATGGTACTGTTCGGTATCTTCTGTGTACGGAACAAAAAGAGTCGGGCACAGTCCGAGTGCCCACCCTCGAGTCTAGTCTGCCGACCTGCAAAAGATGTCCATCGATAAGGCGGCAACGGGTGACATTTGGCACCCTAAAAAGTGGACCAGGCGGCAAAGGCGCCCAGTTTCTGGCAAGCCAATTTGGAGAGTATTATCAAACATCCATCGTTTGTTGGCAGGCCGTGCCGTTTCTCGTGCTCGCCGTGGGCGTGGACAACCTGTTCATCGTGGTGGGCTGGCACGAGCGCCTGCTGGACCTGGACAACAACCCCAAAGCCAGGCCCAGCGCCGCCAGGGTGGCTGCCACCCTCGGCCACGCGGGCCCGTCCATGCTGCTGTCCACGCTGGCGGAGGAGGCCTGCTTCCTGGTCGGTAAGGCCGCACGGCGAATCCAAGCGCTCTAGCAAGTTTGCACAGAAGAAGGCTAGAAATTCCAACTTCTAACACGTGTCGAAAGGGTTGGCCGTTCTCACTCACTGTGACAGAAAGGACGGCAATCACCTTCTCTTTATGAACAGGATTTTCCGTATGCAATGCAAGTACAGCGTTTACGGTACGTGGAAGTACAGTGTTCACTGCACCTGGAAGTGGGGCGTTTACCTTACCTCCTTGTACAGGGTTTACCGCACTTCGTATAGTGCACTAGTTGAGTGCTATGGTGCACTCGAATTAAGGGGCATTTCAAGCGTATGCTCTAACCCTTGCATCCACAAACAAACACCCCTAAAGGAATTAACTGTGCTCATTCGTGCCTTTTGCCCCCAGGGTCCCTGTCGGACATGCCGGCCGTCAGGTCGTTCGCACTTTTGTCCGCCGTGGCGCTGGTCATCAACTTCCTGCTGCAGGTTAGGGTAGTCGTTTTCAAGGCTCTTATCGATTTTCGACTCGTCGACTTATATCCCAACAAAATAATCAATTATTTCGAAACGCCTTTTTTAATATTTTGAATTGTAGGTTTTTCTGCGCGCCAATGCACGAAATTAAACATACACTTTCTAACGCACAAATTTGTGCGCAACAATGCAGGATTTTCTGCATACTTGCCACGAATTGCATTTCGGGAAAATTCTGCTTACGAACCATGTTTAATTTCGTGCATTCGCGCGCAGAAAAAAAACTACATGGTAATTTAGCGTGTATCGATTTTAATTGAAATTGAAGAGATCAAGCCTATGATAGTTGCCAGTTGCCATCTTCGCAGCTCCAACCAAATTTGAATTCGCCTATTCACTAATCAAAACAAAACAATCTTTTTTTTGTCGAAATTTATTGCGTACACTATGAGTTGATAACCAATTTTAAACAACATAGAATCAATTATGAACCATTGAAAATCTCTCGAAGTCTCACACTTGCACGCGTGGGTTCTGTGGCATTGAACCATAGGGAACCATAGGAAGCAAGCGTGGGACAAACCGTGTCTCGGACAAACCGTGTCTCGGAAAAACCGTCTCGGACAAACCGTGTCTCGGACAAACCGTGTCTCGGACAAACCGTGTCTCGGACAAACCGTGTCTCGGACAAACCGTGTCTCGGACAAACCGTGTCTCGGACAAACCGTGTCTCGGACAAACCGTGTCTTACACTTGCGCACTTGTGGCGACAGTTGTTCGCACTAAATAGTGTGAGACTGTCTCTTACTTCACTCTCATTCCAGGAACGTGACATCCACGTTCGTTTGAGCATTGTGTCACATTCGTTTGGGTGTGAATTGGCCGAAAATCAGCTCGTTCACATTCAAACGAGCGTGACACAATACTCAAACGAACGTGACACTTTGTCACGTTCGTTTCAACGTGATGTCACGTTCCTGGAATGAGAGTGTTGGATTTGCGGTGCGTCGATCTAAATCAAAATCGATTCGCTGTTCGATTGTAATCGAATCGACGGACGCTGCTGCAGGTGACGGTGCTGGTGGCCGTGCTGGCGCTGCACGAGCGCCGCCTGCTGTCGCGCCGCTTGGACGGGCTGTGCTGCCTGGCCGCCACGGCGCCGCCGCCCGGCCACAGCGGCCGCTTCGTGGAGCGCCTGTTCAGGCGCGTGCTGGCGCCCTTCCTGATGAGGCGCAGCGTGCGCGTCGCCGTGCCGCTCGCCTTCGCCGGCATGCTGCTCGCCACCCTGCCCTGCCTGCCGCGGGAGAAGATCGGCCTCGACCAGTCGCTCTCCATGACCAGGGACTCGTACGTCTTCAAGTATTTCGAGGTGAGCGACAGGTGCGGATACAGGGGGGGGGAGCAATGGGGTTTTTGGCCCCTCTCCCCCATAGCCCCTAGATAGCCGCCTGAAAGGTAGGCAAAAAGTGCGACTTTGCCCCCCTGGGGGGGGGGCCTCTGGATTCGCCTCTGGTGAGCGAGCAAGCTGAGGGGTGACTCACTGTCAAATTTCGTATCCAATGACAGTGGGAATGCTTAAATGTGGCGGATTTGTCGCGTATTTGCCGCGCATGTTGCCCACACTGAGAATGAAGGAGTCACGATCAGGAGTAAAATTTTGAGTGGAGACAGACAGGTTTCCTTGCCCATACTCTACAAATCAAAGAGTGTACATTAGGGTGGTCCAAAAAAAAATGAAGTTGCTCGGATCGTCCAACGCCGCCCGGATTTGGATTCTACATCGAAAAAAATGAAATACGTGTTTTTTCCTTTTTCGAAAAAATGATTTTTAGGACCTCCTCAAAGCCCTCAAAGTTTTTAACAGTGCTATTAATAGGAAGAAAATCGTAACTTGGTCATTTTTTGACCGATTTTCAAAAACGATACGGGGATTTGTTCGTTTTTGAATGCTTATTACGAAAAAAATATGCCCAACCCTCTTTTTGGTTTGCCTAACTTTCAGGGGCAAAAAATGACTAAATTTCGGCCCAAATTGGCAAGAGTTTCAGTTTGTAGGCCGCTACAGCCACTCCAAGTCCACCCTGTCAGCATGGCGGGGTGCCCCCACCACTAGGCAAGCCCCATGAACAGAAATGAGATGCCGAGTGCAATTTGCCTACCTCACAGGGGCATCAAATTGTGGATTTTTTCGAAAATCTTTCAATAGTGGTGTCTCTTGGGGCCGCTGGGCACTCAGATGGGCACCCTTTCTCCCGGTTCGTTACCCGCACTACGTGATAAGAACAAACAATAGGAATTGACTGTTGAGCACCTCATGCCTACCTCTCAGGACCAGAAAAACGTGAAACTTTAGAAAATTCCTTCATTTTGATGGCTTTTCTTGTGGCCTTGCGTGGTTGCGGTTCCTCGCGTCAGCAACGTCCATTCCTATTGTTTGTTCATATCACGTAGTGCGGGTACCGAACCGGGTGAAAGGGTGCCCATCTGAGTGCCCAGAGGCCCCAAGAGACACCACTATTGATAGATTTTCGAAAAAAATCCACAATTTGATGCCCCTGTGAGGTAGGCAAATTGCACTCGGCATCTCATTTCTGTTCATGGGGCTTGCCTAGTGGTGGGGGCACCCCGCCATGCTGACAGGGTGGACTTGGAGTGGCTGTAGCGGCCTACAAACTGAAACTCTTGCCAATTTGGGCCGAAATTTAGTCATTTTTTGCCCCTGAAAGTTAGGCAAACCAAAATGAGGGTTGGGCATATTTTTTTCGTAATAAGCATTCAAAAACGAACAAATCCCCGTATCGTTTTTGAAAATCGGTCAAAAAATGACCAAGTTACGATTTTCTTCCTATTAATAGCACTGTTAAAAACTTTGAGGGCTTTGAGGAGGTCCTAAAAATCATTTTTTCGAAAAAGGAAAAAACACGTATTTCATTTTTTTCGATGTAGAATCCAAATCCGGGCGGCGTTGGACGATCCGAGCAACTTCATTTTTTTTTGGACCACCCTAGTGTACATGGTACGCTCTAACTGGAGCATGCCTGCAAGCACGCTCTAACTAGCGCATGCCTGCCAAGCATGCACTAACTAGTGCATACATGCAATGTACACGCTAACTGAAGCATACATTTACTGCATAAGGTATAGGGAGTTTTCTGCATCAGGAAGCGTGTACATGGCATGTATGCACTAGTTAGTGCATACTTGGCAGGCATGCGCTAGCTAGAGCGTGCTTGCAGGCATGCTCCAGTTAGAGCATACTATGCACACTCTTTGATTTGTAGAGTATTTGGGTGATAATACTATGTACACTGCGGCAAAAAGCTACGGAAAATTCTGTAAACAGCTTGTGGTAATTCTCCGTAGCCCCCTTGTCAATATTCTCCGTAGGCTCTTACAGTATTTTCCGTTGGACCGCACAGTCTTCTCCGTAGGACCTTACAGTGTTCTCCGTAGGACTATACATTCTTCCATGCCCTACGGAGAATACTGTAAGAGCCTACGGAGAATACTGATAAGAGGGCTACGGATAATCCTGGCAAAAAAATTAACTGAATTCTCCGTCTCCGTACCTTTTGGCCACAGTGCAGGCACACACGTAGCTGATACACCCTTCCTCGCCCAAATTCGGGTGTTAAAGTATACCTCGCCCAAAATCATGACTCTTTCATTCTCGGTGCACTTACAGGCGTTTTCACCACCTGAATGTGGAATGTGTTCAAATTTTGTAGAGTGGGAAAGTTGTCCCTCCCTCGGAACGAGCGGAATCATCAAAGACTAACTCATGTCTGAAGTACCATCATGTCTGAAGTATTTGGAAGAGGGTCGGTGCGGGGTAAAATTGGGCGGAAAAGCTTTCTGATGTTTATCGTTTTAGGCACAACCGTCACTGTATCATCCATCATCAATACATTGTCATTCAAACTGCAGTGGTCCACTGTCTACATTTTGCAATAAAAAGACTCATCACAATGTTTTGCTACTGTAATAATCTGCAATAAAAAGATTATAGCTAAAATTTGCAACAAATGAATTTTGCAATATGAATAACAGACTTGTCCCAGTTCATGAGGGAGTAACTTGTCATAGGTCGTAGGTCATGGGTCGCATACGACAGTGTTAACTTGATTCAGATCACGAAGGGGCTCAGGTCGCAGGTCATAGATCGTGAACAATGTTTGCTTTTTGTTTCAGTTCATGAAGGATGTGCTCTCAATCGGGCCACCGGTGTACTTCGTCGTGACGGAGGGCCTCAACTACACGAAGCCCGAGCACCAGAATCTCATTTGCGGAGGCATTGGCTGCCGATCGGACTCCTTGTTGACGGCGATCACGGCCGCGTCGAAGACGCCCGAATGGTGAGCGTCATTTCGTGGTAGAGCAAACATTTTGTTTTTGTCTTTGAAAAAGAAAAAAAATGAGCTTTTTTGATACTTTCCCCAGTTACCTTGAATCTTCAGACAAACAGCATTGGTTTTGGAAATTAATGGTATTGTCGTACTTGTAATTTTACGACCGCGTAGGTCCCACATTGCCCGGCCGGCCTCGTCTTGGATAGATGATCTCTTCGACTGGACGACCCTGGAAACGTGCTGCAAAGTGTTCGCGAACAATGGCTCTTTCTGCCCACATGACCGTACGTTTCAGTCTGATTGTCGCACTCTCAGAGCCATATTGACTTTTTGTTCATAGCAGCAGCAACATTTCCTAAGTAGCATATGAATTTTTTTTACGCAATAATATACTTCGAAATTTGTTCATATGCCATGGTCCATGCCAAAGTCTATGGTATATGTACAATTCCATAGACAATATTTTTAGTACATTACTAACAAATTTGTTGATAAAATTGTTGATAAAAATTTACCAGAATAATCACTGACAAAACTTTTGTCGTTACTAAACGACACTTTTAATGCTAATTTTTTCAGCGTCAAGATTTATTTTGGAACGGATAGCTTGTTGGACCACTTGTTAGTCAACGACAAGTATTGCAAGTCCATAAAAATATATGTAATGTCTGCGACAAATATTGATCATGTACATAGAATTTTATTCGTATGTACTGACTTTAAATATTAGTTACTACTGACTCCGTTTCTTTCTTACTACAGACAAAATCTCTTAGTAGGCACTAACAAATTAGTCCCAGAAGGCCTCCATACTTCTTTTAAATAACTAGTGACAGATTTGTTAGCAAGGCTAACATACAAAATGTCAATAGATTTTTATCAGTAAGATACCTAAAAAAATGTTCATAAATTACATAGAAATAAAAAAAGTCAGTATGGCTTTGAGAGTGCTTACTTGTAACTTTCGGTATGACACGGTAAAAGAATCACCTGGAAATCCCATTGGTTTCATTTCCAATGGGGTTTTGTGAATTTGCAAATTGACAGAAATAGACTTGTCTTAACATAACCGCCAAAAAAGATCATCTCACGCCATAGATTTGGATAGGAAATGGGAAAGTTATAAAACTGAAATTTGAAAAATGGCCGCAATGATTTACTCATGATTTGATAATGGCGCCCTCGAATCGACAGGCCAGAGCCCCGAGTGCAACACTTGCGCGGTGTCCCTGGAGGGTTCGAGCAAGAGGCCGTCTGGGCCGGACATCCGGAAATTCCTCCCTGGATTCCTGATGGACATTCCGGACGCAGACTGCGCCAAAGCAGGCGTCGCGTCCTATTCCACGGTAATAAAGCCACAACCAAACAATTTTGTGTGTCATTTCAGTCCCGTTACACTGGTAAAACTAAAGCGTTGTATTATATCAGTTTACGCTTGAAATCAAGCGTAACAGCATCCGCCAAGTTTCTCCCTATCTAAATACGTGGGGGAATTTTCAATCCATGATTCATTTCAAGCGTAATGTCTGCAAGCGTAACTTGGTGCACGACTCAAGCACACTGTGTCGTGCACATTGCGCGACACACTCGGCGTAGAACTCGGACGTCGCCGGACTTCTACGAGTTACGCTTTAGTTTAACCAGTGTAGGGTCAGTGCAGGGACGTGAGGCGTCCAAGGGGACGCAATGGAATTTCCGTGCTTTCCCATGACTCAAGACTTCTATTTGGGCCGCGATTATGCGCCCCGCTGGAGAACACTCTGAGATCTATACACTGTTAGAAATTCTGTCGTAAATTAGCGACAAAAAAGTCGCTAATTTTCATAGCGACGGAAATCGTTCTTCAACTACTTCGTCGTAACAGAACGACTAAAATATCATTTCTCTACGACAATGTCGTAATCGCGATTACATATGTTGACACCTGAAATCCCCGAAAAGTTGGTGAAAAGTTACAATTTTGCTCACTTATTTACGATTTGCGTCGTTTATTTACGATTCATAACACAAATTTACGACAAGAGTCGTAAATGTACGACTGAAGTCATAACTGCACGACATGTTCCAAAGGTAATTTACGATTGTTCGTAAACTTACGATTAAGTCGTAAATTTACGACTTAATTCGTTTGAAAACGAAACGTGTCGCTATCAAAATTAGCGACAAATCTGTCGTATATTTACGACTTAAGTCGTAACAAAATATGTCGTTTAAAAACGACATAATTGTTCTACAAAATGTCGTAAATTTACGATTATTTTTAACAGTGTAGACCTTTTTCTCTCTTGCTTATGACGTTTCTTGAGCAAACGTAAAATATACTATTTTCTCGTTAACTACGCACAATTTTAGTCTTTTTTGGCTGAGCGATAGCGAAGCCCGTTACTCCAGTGGGGTTGAAAAGTTTTGTCTGTCTGCGTGTGTGTGTGTCTGTGCGCACTACTCCTCCTGAACGGCTCGGCCGATCTTGCTGAGATTTTGCAGGCTCATTAGATATGTTCTTGGCTCGGCACACGCGAAATTTCATTATCCTAGCTCAACTGGTTCAGTTTTTATAGCCGAAAAACACCCTAAAAACGGCGAAAAATCGAGTTTTCTGCAAGCAGATCTCGCCTGCCTTGATGGAAGGGGGGCCTGGGGGGGGCGGTGACCCCAGCCCCGACAAGTTAAAAAGTTACAAGGGTCAAGATCGTGTAATTTGTAGATGAAGCAACTCTATCTAGAATAAAGGGAGGTTTGGGGGGCGGAGCCCCCCAGTATGCAAGAAATGAGAAGTAACCGACGGTGGACAAGCATTGCCTGCCGAAGGCAGGCTAGCGCCGCAGGCCAAGGTAGGTACGCCAGCCGCGGATTGGAGGAACAGGCAGCGAGATATCGCGAAGCCTGTTACGACAAGATGCGGTCTGGCGTAAACCTACCTTGTAAAGGTAAAACTCTCAATAGATCATGTGGAAATTGAAAAGTACATTGCAAATTACAAAAAGTCAGGTTTAATGGACTAATACATTATACAATGAACAAAATAATGCACAGCTAAAGAGAAAATAGTACATATTACGTTCGCACAAAAAATTTTATGGCAAGAGGTTAAAAGTCAATACGAGACTGAGAGTGATCAAAGCCAATGACACTATGCGTTTTGCAGGGCCTGAACTACGTCTTGGACGAATCGGGCCTGGCGGACATCGGCGACTCGTACTTCATGGGCTACCACACGCCGGTGCGGACGTCGCCGGACTTCTACGAGGCCATTCGGGCGGGGCGGAAAATCGCAGAACAGATAGAAAAGAAGATAAACTCAGAACTGCAACTGGAGAAACACGTCAGCGTATTCCCCTATAGGTATTATCAAAAGTCGAAATTAGGCGGTTGAAATGTGCAGTGTTCCCAGGCTTAAAGACGGCTTTATTTAGAGAAGGGAAATAACTTCTTCCTTGCATATTCCTGTTACACACACATTCCACAAATACTCGGCAAGGTTTTGTCAGTGTGGGTCTCTGTCAGTAAGGAATCACTGTTAGAAATTCTGTCGTAAATTAGCGACAAAAAAGTCGCTAATTTTCATAGCGACGGAAATCGTTCTTCAACTACTTCGTCGTAACAGAACGACTAAAATATCATTTCTCTACGACAATGTCGTAATCGCGATTACATATGTTGACACCTGAAATCCCCGAAAAGTTGGTGAAAAGTTACAATTTTGCTCACTTATTTACGATTTGCGTCGTTTATTTACGATTCATAACACAAATTTACGACAAGAGTCGTAAATGTACGACTGAAGTCATAACTGTACGACATGTTCCAAAGATAATTTACGATTGTTCGTAAACTTACGATTAAGTCGTAAATTTACGACTTAATTCGTTTGAAAACGAAACGTGTCGCTATCAAAATTAGCGACAAATCTGTCGTACATTTACGACTCAAGTCGTATATTTACGACTTAAGTCGTAACAAAATATGTCGTTTAAAAACGACATAATTGTTCTACAAAATGTCGTAAATTTACGATTATTTTTAACCGAGGGGGTATGCACTCGCGTAAGTCGGTTCACTCTATCTGTGATAGCACGCGTAATAATACGCGTAATAGTCGCGTAATAGCCGAAATTGTCAAAATTTTATCAATTTTGTTGTGTTTTAGGCCGTTTTTAGCTAAATTCCGATTAATTTGTGGCGTAATAGAGCGTAATAGCGTAATAGTCGGTACACAGGTTCGGAGAGCGCATACCCCCTCGTTTTTAACAGTGAAGGGTTGGGCAGTCCCTAACAGGATTCGGAATTATTTTTCCCCTCTTCTCAAAGCCAGTTATTTGCAGCTGTCACAGCCATGTCAATTTCAGATCAATTTGATCTTCAAAATAAGAACACTCACATGATATCAAGAGCACCCTATGTCGTATACTGTTATTCAATGAATGACGTCACATTGGTAGAATTTGAATTTTGCCTCGTTCGTTTGAACACGTTTTGCATTCGCTGGAACGTGACCCTGTCGTTAAATCAGTATGTCACATCATGCGTAGATCAACATTGCAACGGAAGTAACGAATTGTCTGTCTGTAGAATACTCTACAAATCAAAGAGTGTACATGGTACGCTCTAACTGGAGCATGCCTGCAAGCACGCTCTAACTAGCGCATGCCTGCCAAGCATGCACTAACTAGTGCATACATGCCATGTACACGCTAACTGAAGCATACATTTACTGCATAAGGTATAGGGAGTTTTCTGCATCAGGAAGCGTGTACATGGCATGTATGCACTAGTTAGTGCATACTTGGCAGGCATGCGCTAGCTAGAGCGTGCTTGCAGGCATGCTCCAGTTAGAGCATACTATGCACACTCTTTGATTTGTAGAGTATGACAAAGCATTCGTTGAAAAACTGTGCACACATTACGTTCGTTACGAAATAGCTCTCAACAAGTCTGTTCTTTTCTCGTCAGCGTGTTCTACGTGTACTACGAGCAGTACCTCAGCATAGTGTGGGTCATGGCGGGGTCCATGCTGCAGTCGCTGTGCCTGCTGTTCCTCATCATGACCCTCCTCAACGGCTTCGACTTGGTGGCCTCGTCCATCGTCAGCGCCATCGTCATCGTGATGCAGCTCGAGATGGTGGCCGTCATGTACTTGTGGGGCATCGACCTCAACGCCCTGTCCGCCGTCAACCTGGTCGTGGCAATGGGGATCGCCGTCGAGTTCAACTCGCACGTCATGCACGCCTTCCAGAAGTCCACCGCGCCCACGCGCATCGCCCGGGCGCAGGAAGCCCTCGTTGACATGGGCGCCTCGGTAAGACTACGCTCGGAATACAACCTCGAAACCTTACAAACCACTCTACGAACCGAAGTGTGTATACTCAGTACGCATCTACAGATGCATACACTGAGAATCCAAACGCTGTGAGTATAGCGTCAGTTGGTGCAATGCTTTTGCATTGCACATTAAGTGCAATGCCTTCCCATTCCTGTTCATTATAGCATAGGGCATTTTCGGGATGCATTGCAATATGGCTGACTATGGCATTGCACGAATGGTGCGATATCTCAGGGCATTGCACCATACGTGCTATATTCATAGCGTTTGGAATATCAGGGAACACTGAAAATCTATCGGCGTCACTTCGTGCCGCTGCAGGGGCGTGAATAAAGTGTCACGCCAATAAACGGCATGACAGAAAAGTCACGCCAAAAATCGGCGTGACTCAAAAATTCACGCCAAAAATTGGCGTGAATTTCTTGTCATGCCGCTTTTTGGCGTGACTTGTCTCATAAAACGCGTTGTCATTCACGCCTAATGAGGGCTTGACTCACATGTCACGCCGTTTTTTGGCGTGAATTTCGTGTCACGCCAATTTTTGGCGTGACTGTTGGTCACGCCATAATTTGGCCATGAGTCCGACCTTTACGTTTTCAGTGAACTTGCAGGAATACACATCGTCAGATGCATACTTTGCTGAGTACACATTAACAGATGCATACCTTGCTGAGTGCACACCTATAACTTATGCATCTGTGCGTGTGTACTCAGAGTACACACTTCAGTTTGTAGAGTAGAGAAGTAGTACAGTAAGGTAGTATAGTAGGTAGGTATTTTGAGCAAATGGAAACTTATACTTTGAAAATCGTTCGTAATTCATATACTATTTCTTCGTACATCAAAGCTCAAAATACTTATTCGTAAGGTTTTAAGCGTGTGACAGTCTCCGTACTCAGATTCGAATGAGCCCATGTCCCATGTTGCCTGTCACAGGTCTTTTCCGGCATTTTCCTCACCAAGTTCTCTGGCATCGTTATCCTGGCCTTCGCTCCGGTGCAAATCATGGAAGTCTTTTACTTCAGAATGTACCTCACGATGGTCATCCTCGGCGCCCTGCACGGACTCATTCTCCTGCCAGTCGTTTTAAGCTTCGTTGGTGGGTAGAACTACTTTGAGGTCTCAGTTCGCACCAGTAACAGCTGTCCGAAAGTAATTATTTTGTCCTGTTCAGGTCCGAAAGTGAACCCAGCTCGACTACAAGACATCGCAAACTGGCAGCGGCAAGACGCACTTCTAAATGGCGGCCCTGACACTGCTTCAAATTACACGAGGCAGTAATGTCTTCAGAGGCGCACAATATAGGTCGACTGATTGTAGTACATTTTCTCACGAAAGCCGGCGAAGCAGCATCTGCACCAAAACTCCGAAGAAAACAGGGATCCTTAACTTAGCATTTAGCTAACACTGCTTTCATAACGCAACATTTAAAAAAAATGTTCGCTAAAGGTTAAGGAAGGGTACGGACTGTTGCAAGTACTCCCTAGAATATCGCCACACGAACTCGAGAAACAAGAAAAATAAAGTCAGAAGTTACGTGTTATAACTTTGGCTTGTACGATAACGTCACGATGCCGTTTTGAGGTAAGTTAAGGATCCCTGCAAGAAAATGAAAGGTATTTGCTTCGTAGTGCGAAGGATTTGACTACATGACTCGAGGCTTTTTTTTCGTACATTTTACGAAGCCTTCGTTTTCATCGTATTACGAAACCTTCCTTTGAGTTAAGGGGGGACATCACTCCAAAATGATCAAAAATTGCAACTTTTTTTTATTAGTTTATATTATAGACCATTCCTTTCTGCGTCGAATGGTGAAAACCGCATTCCGGAATTCAAAAAATTGCAGTTTTAGTACGTTGTGCGCCGCAAACATGCATAGGGGAAAAGCCCAGTTTCCCCAACTTTGATCGCGTTTTTCTCGGAACATGAAATTGCAAACGGTTGCAGGCCTCTAGGGCGCAGTTTTTGAGCTACAGCGGGGAGATTTAGCATGGAAGCTTCTACGACATGCCGCTATGGTGGGTAGCAAAATAATTTGCATTGGTCAATTTTTATTATTTTTTTAACGTTTAAAATTGAACAATTTTGACCAAAAAAATTGAACAATATTTTTTGGTATGTAACAAACACAACTTAAAATGATTTTTGAAATGTGATTGAGGTTCCCACCATAGCCAGACATCTCTGGAAGGCTGTCACCAAATTTCAATGTTCTAGGTTAAACCGTTTGGCGTCCAGCGCTGCAACAGTGCGAAATGGTCTAACCTAACACTCAAAAATGTGTTTTCAACGAAAGCGCTGTACTGCCCTGGCGGATTGACTTTGTGTTGTTTTATACTTAATCTGTTAAAATATGAACAATTTTTCTCTTTCCGTTTGGTTTTTATGACGTTTTTACAAAAGCACTGTTTTTGGAGTGATGTCCCCCCTTAACTGTGATGAAGTCGCTAACTTGGTTATTTATTGCACTTATGCCTTTTTTTATTTATACACTTCTGTAAGACTTTATATAACAATAAAAAATATTCCAATGATCATGCTCATCGCATTGCAGGGTGTTCACATTTTGATAATTGAAAATCAGATTCACACATAAGAATTATCAATGTATAAGTGCGTAAGTGCGTATAACTGCATAAGTGCATAAAAAAGAGCATAATATTGTCTACAAAATGAACCACGGGGATTAACATCGGGCCAAAAACGCTGGTAGAAAAAGGTCATTTTTCACAAATTTTCCATTGAATGAATTTTTCTTGTTCGATACTAAATATCTAGTAACATTTTCCATCCGATATTAACCCCCGTGGTTCATTTTGTAGGCAATTTTATGCTCTTTTATATGCACTTTACCGATTGAAAAAAAGTTGAAAACTTTGGCTGAAATCGTGCGCGCAGTGACACCATGTATGATTTTGCAGACCTTTGTTACGTCCCTCATATAAGTGCCTCCCCTTATGCTAAAACAAAATATTTTTTTGTTTTTTAAATTGTTGCAAAAAGTTTGATCTTTTACATGGTTACTGCCGTTTGTCTCTAGCATTCATGGAAGTCTTTTTAATTCAGGTGCAAACAAAAAATTTGAAAAAAAATTGAAAAAGCGTGCACAAAGTGCTACTGCCCCCTTAAAATTCAGACATGGCCAAGTCTTAAAATTCGCACTGCCTTCTAGCTGAAATTTCACACTTTTAGTCCAAAATTTAAGAACATGCTTTGTGAATTCGTGCTGCTGCAATCGTGCGGAAAGGGCAGCCTGTTTTAGAGTGGTCTAGACGCTGGTAAGGCGGGCCTACTTAGATTCTGATGAACAGTGTTTTAATTTCCCGGGAACGATCATTTTGGTGAACGTTCCCAATAAATTCCCGGGAACATTTCCGAAGATTCCCCAAAACTCGGAATATTCACCTTTTTTTAATAAAATAACTTTATTTGCCTTCTGGAGAGTACAAACAGGCAAATTTTGACTATTCTCGCAATTTTCCCGTCAACAGCCTATATCCATTACTATTTGAGACTATAAAGAGGCATACAGGACATGAGCCCCGTCCCGTTTGAGCCCCGATGGTCTGAGCCCCGACCTGAGCCCGGGTTGAGCCCCGACCCAAGCCCCAATTTCCAGAGCCCGGATTGAGCCCCGACCTGAGCCCCGTTTGAGCCCCATTTGAGCCCCACTTGAGCCCCATAGCAATAAATTATGCAAAAATGCGTGATTTCAGGTCGCGGGGCTCAAATGGGGCTCAAACGGGGCTCAGGTCGGGGCTCAATCCGGGCTCTGGAAATTGGGGCTTGGGTCGGGGCTCAAGTCGGGGCTCAACCCGGGCACAGGTTGGGGCTCAGGTCGGGGCTCAGACCATCGGGGCTCAAACGGGACGGGGCTCATGTCCTGTATGCCTATAAAGACTTGCGTTTTAAGTCGATTACTTAGTTCTCACATTAGTTGTGCGCTCTTCTAATGCCGCCAGGAATGTGGTAAAATAGGAAAATTAAAACAGCGTTTCAAAATGTATTAATGTTCATTCAAGATATGCCTGACGCGGTGACTTCGAAAACACGTCGCTCATAACTCGGGACTTCATCAACGTCCGTCTCCAAGAAGATGCCCTAACCCCCTGCAAGCGGAAAAGACGATCTCATTCACAAATTGCAAAAACATTTTTCGTAGGAATTCAGTAGTGCGGGGTGCAATAAATGTCGTTGGTTAATGTACATGTTACGTAACGTCTTCTGCTTTTCTCGCACTCACTGACAGTCATAAGGATTAAGAAGAAAAGAGCTGTAGAAAAGCGTTAGGTAATAAGTGGACGTTTCGAGAGGTCCTAAAAGATCTTATCTGCCCGTTCCCCCCCAAGACAATCTTATCTTAAACGCAGGCGAATTTCACTCAGTTTGACCATTTGGGATGGGTACGAGAGTAAGCGGGATATATTTCTGCATGCCCTATTGGTTTCTTTGATCTTTCATCTTTACATAATTTCAGTGAATTTAATCACATTGATTTGTAGCTGTATCAAATGATCAAACTGAGTGAAATTTGCCAGCGTTTAAGATAAGATTGTCTTGGGGGAACGCGCAGATAAGATCTTTTGAATAGGACCCCTCGGTTTTGCTACGTACTTCTTCTTCAGGTCGGTGTGCAACACTGGCTTGGGAGCCTAGATCTTCGGTGCGGGCTTGGGCTTTGGTGGCCTGCCAGAGAGGGAGCGCTTGGGCAGGTGGTGGGGCTTGTGGTTGGGTTCGGGGGGATGATGAGGGCCATGGGGAGAGCGCTTGTGCAGGTGGTTGGGCTTGTGGTTTGGTTCGGGGGGATGATGAGGGCCATGGGGAGAGCGCTTGTGCAGGTGGTTGGGCTTGTGGTTTGGTTCGGGGGGATGATGAGGGCCATGGGGGGAGCGCTTGTGCGGGTGGTGGGGCTTGTCTTTGTGTTCGGGGGGTCCGGAGGGATGATCAGGGCCCTTGTGGGTGCGCTCCTGCAGATGGTGGGACTTGTGGTTGGGTTTATGAGGCTCCCCTGCGGCTTGCTGGCAAATCTGGAACAAATTGGTGACACAAATAATGATCATCTTTTGAATGTTGATGTTCTGTAAATCCCCACCAACGGCCACTTTAAAAGCATAATTCTTTGGTCCTCCAGCGCAGAATTCTGTGATGAATGAGCCTGGACCATAGTCTTCTTCAATCTGATTGGTCAGGCCACCAAGATGGCTTCCATAGGAGAGGTCAGGGTCCTCTGGCCGCTTCACCCAAGCGACCGAGAACAAACAAAACGAGAGGCTCATTCCCTTCCTATTCTTGCTGAGAGTCTATCACTCTAACTCAAAATAAGTTGCAAAAATAAAAAATAGTTCTCTGAAGTAAAAGTAACAAAATGTCAACTTTTCTTCATAAATTCTACACTTTTCTTATTAAAAGGTACTCTGGCCTCTAAATACCAAATGTGCTTAAGCTCAAATAGATGAAAACAGAAGGAGACAAAAGTCAATCTTACAGTACAAACAATTTAGTGTCTTGTTCCGTTGGAATAAGAGCCGATAAAATGAGTGACTCTTTCACTCAAAATTAGATCAAAAATTTTTAAAATCTCATCAAAATAACTATCAGAGAAGCTTCTCCACTACATAAACTCTATTTAAAATCAATGGGGCACTCAGCAAGTTAATACAGACTGAGCAGCTGCTTGTGATAAGATATCATTACCAAAACCGACTCACACACTATAAGGTTAAACTGCCCAACTCAACATAGGTCAGAAATAAATTAATTCAACAGTGTCACTCCACTAAAACATAACGAGAGGCTCATTCCCATCATAGTTATGATAAAGATTAATCACTCACACCCAAAAGATGTTTCTAATCAATATAAAAGTGAACTGCGCTGGTTTGACTCAATGATGCTTTCAGTTTCTATCACCCAAATAAAAGAAGGAAAATTCTTGAAAGCTCACCAAAATTACTATCAGACAGGCTTCACCACTATCTTAACTAAATTAAAAAAAAAAAGGGCCCTTTCACCAAAAAAAATAACAAACCCCACTAGGGGAAAACCTAAAAAAATCGTGTTTAAAAATTGGGGGAAAGTAGGATTTTGATTCAATCAAAAAAAATTTTTAAATTAAATTTTTAACAAATTTTTTCCTTTCCCAACACAAAAAAAGCTAAAGTTGGCAACAAAATTTTTCTTTCCTTTCCGGAGATTTTCGAACAAAACACTTCGTTAAAAATAAAAAATTTTCCCCCCCTAAAAAACATAAAAAAGTCGGGACACTTGACCCAATAAAAAGGGGCGAACCCCCTTCCTTGGTTTTCCTTACAAGGTTTTCTTTCCCCCCCGGGGGGGGGAGTTAGGCGTGATTGGGAAAATTGGCTCCCTTTTTTACCATAATCCTGTATTACCCAAACCCGTCCCGGGACACCTTTTCTTTAAACTTGTGGACATAAATTTCTTGGGGGGTTCTTCCCCTTTACCCCCTTTCAGCAGGGTTGAACCCCCAGGAATGACCCTGAACCAGTAGTTTTTTCGACGATCAAATAAAAAGGGGGCGGGGGGGGTTGCGAGTTCCGGTTCACCTTCCCCAAAGTCTCGAAAATAAAAAAAGCACTTTTTAAAAAATGAAAATTAAAGATTTTTCCAAAAGGAAAAAAAACCCAAAGGGGGGGTGACCTCATTTGTGATGGTTCGGCGGAGCCACCCCCCGGGACCTTAATTTGCAAAAAGATTTTGTCTTAAAACCTAAAAAATCCCCTTACGTCAAGAGCCACAAGGGTTTTTCTGAAAAATTTTTTCCCTTTCACCCACGGCAACAGTTTGGCAAAAATTGC